TTCCATTGAACAGATATATCACAATTATACAGACATTGACATACAGATTCGTGGGTCATCGAAGTACAGCAGTTCCCGTACGATTGTCAAGGTTAAGCATGCGAGGTCGTGGTACAACTTCGGATGGGTGACCGTTTGGGATGCATCATGAAAAAAAATTAATTCTCGAATTTAGAGAAAATTTTTTTTTCAGTAATTAGGAAAAACTGACCGGTATTTTACTTCAATTTCTACACGAAGTATATACGAATTTACTACTGCATTATTGCACTAGTAGTGACACTAATAGTACTTTTTAGTCATATTTACGTCTCCCTGACGTAATAAAATAACGTCAATAAGATGTGACATAATCACGTGATATATACGTCAGAATAACGTTACTTTTATGTCATAATTGACGTTATTTGTACCAAAAATTCACGTCATTATCACGTGACCTTGCTAGCTGGGTAATGCGACCCGGGCACGTCAAGTTTTTTCTTCACTATAATACAGTTGACAATTATAGTAATTTTCGGTCTGTCTTATGTGATTGGCGTAATGAAGAATACACTTGGTCAATTATATTTATCTCATATCTGTTTTTGATCAAGAAGTTCAATATATTTTTATACATTTGGCGTATGTTTTTTCTTTTTTTAAAAAAAGGTTTTTTTAAGGTATTCAATTATATTCTTTCCAACCAACCTTCTTGTACCGTTGGTCTACACTTTCTGCGACTAGTGTTGTCAAGAGCACATAACTTTTCTCATATTATATTGTTGATTCCGTTGATACCAGAGAGGAACACGAAAATGACGAAAAAAATGTTGTTCACTGAGCAAATTTAGAAGAATGTTATATAAATGATGCCTAAGTTAATTGATTAGGTTAGGTTGAGATAAATATGTATCACTCGATTATATTAATATAAATTTTACTATCATTAGATAAATAGAATTCCCAGACAGCATGCTTGTCAGAATGAAAACTTTAAGAGAACTTTTTCAAGAGAACATTTAGTTATCTTTAAAATAATGTCTAAACGATATCTCATAATAATCATTTATTAGAGAATCTACCAAGAGAACTCTTTAAGATATCCGATTTGAGAGATGTCTTGAAATTGTTATCTTTATGATGTCATGCTAAATGATATTAGTTTGTTTTCTCATAAAAGATATCAATATGTTGTATGATTTTTGACAGTTCAGAAACGAGACATAATTATGATATCTTTTATGAGAAATTCATTTGATGTTACTTATTAGGAAAGATTCTGTTTCAGAGATGCCAGAAGGTTTGTAGATTATCGCGCCAACGTTCTGTGAATTCATAATCTTGCCATTCACTTCATCAGGGCGAGGAGTGCAGTGATACTTGTAGCAATTTCGGGTGGGATGCACTAGTGTACACTGGTGCATGTTAAGTCCGTGTACAATGTACATGTTCGTGCATATGTTATATCCGTGTACTGCCGCGGTGGTAGATTAACAGTGTACAACGGTTTTAATATGCACCAGTGCACACTTATTTTCCCAGCCGAAATCGCTAATAGATACGTATCAGTGCATTCCTCGCCCTGATGAAGTGAACGGCAAGATTAATTAATTCAAACCTGTAAACATAACCTGTAAACTCTCTTTTTAAAGAAATTTATATATTAACATATAACAGATTTCTTTAAGACATCATAAATATGAATATATATGTTAATCATAAAGATGTCCAATTTAAGAAATCTTTTGAATATCATTTTTGTGACATCTTTCTGTTCTCAAAAAACGACGCATTAGATAAAATTCAGTTATCTTTATGTGATCTTTAAGAAGTTTCTCTAAGTTATCAGATTCAGAAATAAGATATCTTTTAGGAACCTTTTGGATAACATATTGTTATTTAGGTTAGGTTTGTATAATAATTATTTGAATAAATTTGATATATTTTCAACATTATTTCAAAATAAAATAATTTTATCTCATATGTTTATGATCGCACTTTCTGACCAGTTTATTTACACTTACGACTGTCAAGAGCGCTTCTCTTTTTCTCTCAAGGTAGAAAGAGATGCAACGGGTCTAGTTAAACTGCCAACTTCCGGTTTCAAGCTAAGAACAGAATGCTCGGTCTATGTATATATGTCGTTGGATTGACCACTATAGCCACTCATAGCGCTCATACAATTGCACGCGATATATATTGTCAGTACTGAAAATCTATAGTATACACATCCCAGGTAGCAAACACAGGTCATTTTGACGTCAAATTCTGGTCATGTTGGTACGAATGACGTCAAGTGACCAAAAAGTGACCAACCGATATTATAAGCCCGGATCCTCATACGGACAACAGCTCTTTGACACCGGACACTGATTGGTGAAAAACGGGTTATGGGGGTAAATTTTACCCTCGCCACCGGTTTTTCACCAATCAGCGTTTGGTGTCAAAGCGCTGTTGCCCGTATGAGGATCCGGGCTAACGTCATTATGACATCGTCATAATGACGTTATAATGACGTCATATTTTGGTTCTCCTTAATTTTCCTTTTAATAAGAAAAAAGATATAGTAATAGTAACCAAAAAGAAATAATTAAACACAAATAGCTGATTATCATTAAATTATTTTGTTAAAATAACAAAATACAATTTTTTTGTTAAATGAACAAAATATTGTAAATTTTTTTATTTAGCGACGGTACAAATTTATTTGCTTACTTACTTTTTGTAAATAACAAGGTAAAATTTTGTTGCCATTACAAAATAAGTGTTTTTTTTGTAATTTTAACAAAATAATCTGTTTGGGTAGACAAAATATTTTTATTAAAAGTATATATAGACAATTCGAAACATCTCTGTCAATAAGGTAACAGTGGAGCAGTACGTTAGGTGAACGACTCAGAACAGGACCATGGATCAAGTCACGAGTTCAAATCCTATCAGGTTTAAAAGTTTTTTCCTAGGTATTATTAGTCAGTTCAGCACTTAAGGAGAGGACACAAATGATGGAGAAAGAAATCTAATTAATAAGAACTGCTGTAACTTTTTTTTTTTCGTGTGCGTCCACATGCGTGCGAGCAATATGGCACCCAATGAGGATCTGTCATGCGCATGACATTCACGCGTGCGGATAATTTTGCACGCGTGAATGCACTGTGAGACCATTGTGCGCGCATTTTGTTATCTGGGAACATGATGTTAAAATGACGTCCTTGCAATGACGTCAATAATTTTGCGACATTAGTACGTCATTAGTACGTCATTAAGACGTCATTTAGTGACGGCAGTCATGGTCAGTAAATGACCCAAATTTGACGTCAAAATAACGTATATTTGCTACCTGGGATGTTTACTTTGATATAAGTTTATTTTCTATAATTAACTAAAATGTGACGCAATTTCTGATAAGTTTATTTTCTGTGATATAAGTATTAACAGTATGATACATATACACACACACACTTTGATGTAAGTTTATTTTCTATCCTAATTAACAAAAATGTGATGCAATTTCAGATAAATTCAGTTTTTGTGATGTTAAATATAAATGCAATGTAATTTTTCACAAGCGTTAAACAAAAATATCATAAATAAATAAGAACATTTTTTGTTAAAAATGCACTTTGTAACACATACTTAAATTATTATATAAATATAAAAACCTGCAAAAAACAATATTTAGAGGTTTCTAAAATAATGTTTATTTAAAATAGGATTAACGTTTATTTAAAATATGGTTAACGTTTAAAATAGGATTTAAATAGAATTTGAATGCGATTTTGACATTTTAGCGATTATCAACATAAAATTAATATTTGCAAATAATTCAGCACACATCAAAAAATCTTAAAAATATATAAAAATTTCATCGCTTAGATTAAAATTGGATTATTTTTTCCATTGTCCTATTTATTACAATATTTTTATATTATGTGTACAATATTAATAAAATTATCCAGCTAAGAGAGAATTAAGCTGGGTAATTTCACTAACACATATACATATATGTATATACACTTAAACGTCAAAATGATGGCAAATATTGTCAACTTGTTTCCTGGATACGTACATTTCTTATCACAGATATGCCGTCATTTTGACGTCATAAGTATCACGTCATTGGTCTGTGACTTATGCATGTCATTATCATTTCGATTTTGACGTCTTTTATGACGTTACTTTGGTGATATTATTGACTCAAAAAAGACGTCATTTTGACGATATTTTGCTACTTGGGTCGACGTCGTGATAATTAAGAAACAGAATAAATAACAAACAAAACTAAATGGATATGAAAAAGAAAAGGAACAGAAAAATTGAAAATATCAAAAATAATAAATTGTGAAAATAAATTTCCAATGAAACTAATATCGAAATCGGTCAATGCTATACACACACAATAATAAGTCGTTTTGGCTTTTGTGGATTGTCTGCTTTCTTTCATTCTATACCTTTGACCAAAATTTAATTATTTGACTTTCTGTTTTAACATTGACTGACCAGCATACCGGTTTTTAATTAATATTAGTATTATTTGTGATGCGGTACTTTGTAATAGTGCTGAGTTCTTTATTCTAGAAATAATTTACTATAATCTTAGTTCTTTGGAAATTAGTTTTCACAATTTATTATTTCTGATATTTTCAATTTTTCTGTTTTTCTTTCTTTTTCTTTTTTATCCATTCAGTTTTATCTGTTATTTATTCTGTTTCTTAATTATATTACGACATAAAGGAGCTCACCGTTGATTGAAAAATTGTATTGATTAGTTATATTAATTAGTTTGTTTTCTGAAGAGGGCTAAAATGTTAGCCGAAACATGTAAGAGCGTTATTATTATAATAAATGAGCGTTATTCAAATAAATGGTTTTTATCATTTATCAATGATGTTTTTAATTGTGCGACGTCTTCTGCGCCCGACTTCTAAATTTGTTTTTGAATTATAAAGAGTCTTAATTGATTTTATTATTATAAGGTTTATAAGTTATTTCTTTCTTTTCAGCACGTGCCACGATTGAACAAGCAAGCCAACACCCCGACAGCCTTCAATACATTCAACAGCTCGAGGATTACAGCAAGTATCAAAAACAGGAGAGCGTGGATGAGATCTCTTTACAGCGGCCGGTTTTTATCCGCCCACTCCAGGATCTTGGTGAGCTACATGAAGGTCGTAACGCTCATTTCGAGGCGCAGTTGACACCTGTTAGCGATCCTATCATGAAAGTGGAGTGGTATAAGGACGAAAAACCAATTACAGCAAGTGAGTATTAATATACATATATGTATAAAAAAACAATTTTAATTGTTTAAAAATTTATAGTAAAAAACTATTATTACTTTTTATTTTTATTGTGAAAAACTATATTAACTATCTGCTAGGTTCAAGAATCATTAGCATCTTTAACTTCGGATACGTCTCACTCAATATAATGCACTTACGGGCTGAAGATGCAGGTTCTTATACCGTCAGAGCTGTGAACCGCTTGGGAGAAGCCATCAGCTCCGCGACTCTTCGTGTTTTTGGTGAGTCTTAGTAACGCGAATAATTATTTTCAAACAAATTTTTCTTAAATAATTTTTTTCTTAATATTCTCGAATATTGATCTTAATTATTGTACAGCGCGAACAAGTGTAACAACAGACTTGGGTATCCCCGAACAACTGAGATACATAGAGGCTACCGAGGAATTGGAAGCATATCAACAGGCGATGCACCAAAAGTATGTGCAAGAGCAGCTCGAACCGAGTAGCCCACCGGAATTTAAATCACCTATTAAGGATCAGAGCAGCATACGAGAAGGCGGATTTGCTCATTTTGAGGCGCGTCTCGAACCAATCGGTGATGCCGACCTCCGTGTTGAGTGGCTGAAAGATGGGCAACCTGTAGAAGCTAGTGAGTAATACATAATTCTTTTTACATAAACGTGTATGTCGTATATTTATATTCACGGAATATTTTCGAGATCAGGTTCTCGGATTACAACTTTTTTCAATTTTGGTTACGTGGCATTGACTATCAAATACGTAACGATACACGATGTTGGCATGTATACTTGCCGAGCCTATAATAGAGCCGGTGAGGCTCACACTACCGCTCAATTAAGTGTAATCAGCAAGAATGATGTTATTTATGACAGCCAACATCCTAATGGTCTACAAAAAATTCAATCTCTCGAAGATTCGAGTAGATATTCACGACAGGTTCAAGAAGAAACGCAAATTACACAAGCACCACGATTTCTGGGTAATCTTAAAGGTACCAATAAGATCGTAGAAGGCCAACGGGCACATTTTGAGGCACGCGTCGAACCACAAAGTGATCTGAGTATGAAAATCGAATGGTACCACAACGGCAAACCTATTACTGCCGCTAATAGAATCCAAACGTATCACGATTTTGGATACGTTTCCATTGATATTCTTCAAGTTTGTTCTGGAGACGCTGGTACATACACCGTTGTGGCTAAAAACTCCCGTGGAGAAGCTCGTTTATCTGCCACTATGACTGTAGAGAGTAAGATTTTAATATTTTATTTATGCAGCATTGGAGCAATTTGCAAACATAAATAATTAATGAGCTAATTGATTCTTCGTTTTAGTGCGTTCCAGCATAGATACCAGCAGCATGCATCGCGGAACGTACGAGAAAACTCAACGTTTAGAAGAATTCAAGTTTGTTGAGCCGCAATATCATATCGAAGAGATCTCTAAATCAAAACCAATTTTTATCCAGCCGTTGAGTGATCCTAAGTCAGTTAGCGAGGGAAAAAATATTCACTTGGAGTGTCGTTTGGAACCGATGGGTGATCCTACAATGAGAGTTGAATGGTTCCAAAACGGACGTCCAGTCACAGTCGGTTCTAGATTCAGAACTTATTACGATTTCGGATTTGTTGCACTCGATATAGTACACACTACCGTTTATGATTCTGGTGAATATACAGTCAGAGCTACTAATCATCTGGGTACCGCACATACTTCTGCTTGTGTCAGAATTATCGGAAAGTCTGACATCGACACTGAAACACAAAATGAACAGTCACTTGAACAGATACAAATGTTGGAAGATGCATTAAGGTTTGCTTTTATATATCACCTTGTAATTCATACATCTTTTCGCAATTATTTGTCTTATTTATTTTATTCATATATAGATATCGCAAAACTCAACACGAGGATGTCACGGTGATGCAAGCACCTCAGTTCATTCGGCCTTTGCACAATATTGAGACGGTAGAATTGACCAATGTTCATCTCGAGTGTCGCCTTCAACCAATTGGTGATGTTACTATGAAAGTAGATTGGTTCGTTAATGGTCGACCGATCAAAACTGGTCACCGATTCAGACCATCTTACGAATTTGATTATGTGGCTCTAGATATTCTCGGTGTTTATCCTGAAGATTCTGGTGTATATACCTGTCAAGCTAGAAATCAGCTCGGCGAAGCAGTTACTTCGTGTTCTGTAAGAGTACACGCCAAGAAGGATTTACTTCTAGAGTCCCAACATCCCGAAGGATTGGAAAGAATACAGTACTTGGAGGATGCGTCACGATATAAAAGACATGAACTGGTGGATGAAGTGGTCACCGTAAAGCCAAAATTTATTACAAATCCAAAAAATCAAGAAAATCTTCGAGAAGGACAACATGCTCATTTCGAGTGCAAATTGGAGCCGGTAACCGATCCGAATTTAAAAGTCGAGTGGTTTAAGAATGGTCGGCCAGTTACAATAGGTAGTTTACTGTCTCTTTTACAACAATAATACATACGCAAATAAAACATATTATCTACACTATTATACTTTTGCTTCAATGTTGAATAACTCGGTGAAAAAAGTCGTACAATGATCAATAAAAAAGCAAATTGAAGGTACAGATTCACTCTTTCGATTGCTGTAGACAGCATTTTTATGTGATTTTTACCTCATGCTATAGACATTTGTAACTTTGTACAAAATTTTTTGTGATTTGACGGATATTTATTTGCGTCCGTATAACTCCGTGAAAGTTAATCCGACTGAAATATCGATTCCGAAAATAGAGATTTCAAGCTTTAAAATGCTTTTTTATCTGTATTATAGACTGTTCTGAATATTGCGCAATTTTGAGCGTGTTCGAAAATAGTTCTGTTTTTTGTTGAATAATATATATTTTTTTGTTTTAAATATAAATGTTTAATTTGTATCCATAAAATTATATTTAATAAATCAATTTGCAGGACACCGGTTTCGTCCAATTCATGATTTTGGTTATGTTGCATTGGACGTAATTGATTTGATTGCCGAGGATTCTGGAACATACACTTGTCGTGCAATTAATCTCGTAGGAAGTGACGAAGTACTCTGTACTTTAACGTGTCACTCGAGCGCACAAATATTAACGGATACACAAAATGAGCTTGGACTTGAACAAATTCACTATCTTGAGGATAAATCTAAATATCGTAGACAAGAAGTTATTGAAGAAACTACCACTCAGGCGCCTATTTTTACAACTTCATTAAATAATGTCGAAATAAAAGAGGGCCAGCGAGCACATTTTGAATGTAGATTAATTCCAGTATCCGATGTAACAATGAAAATTGAATGGTTCCATAATAATAAACCAGTAAAAGCAGGCTCGAGATTCATCGAAACAAACAACTTTGGTTTCGTTGCTCTTGATATTATGTACGCGTACCCTGAAGACTCTGGAACATATACTTGCAGAGCTAAAAATATTATTGGTGAAGCCATCACCTCTGCAACCGCTATCGTTCACTGTAAGATTTTCGTCATTTTAAGATTTATTCGACAATTTCGTCGAATATCAATAATATTAATTTTTATTATTTTTTATTAACAGCTAAAAAGTCAATCTACACAGAGACTCAGAGCGAAGAAACTCTTCAACGTCTTCGCTCGTTAGAGGACATGTGTCGTTATCAACGTAAAGCTACAATCGAGGAAATTATTACACGAGCTCCTGTATTTACAATGCCGATAAAAGATCTTCGTGTTGCTGAAAATCAAGCAGCACATTTCGAAGCACGTGTTATTCCAGTTGGAGATCCTAAACTCAAAGTAGAATGGCTACGTAATGGAATTCCTATTTCAGCCTGTAAGCCTAATCTTTTGTAAGAATTTATGTAATATAAAAGTATATCAGAATTCTCTTGTAAAAATATATTTTCATTATTTTTAATTTGCCAAAAGCAAATCGAGTGACGACCATGCACGATTTTGGATATGTCGCTTTAAATATGAAGTACGTCAATCCCGAAGATTCAGGTACTTATACGTGTCGTGCTACAAATGAACTTGGAGAAGCAGTTACTTCAGCAACATTGTTAGTTCAATGTAAGTATGTCGTGTTAATTTAATGCATAATTCAGGTATATATTTACGAACGTATATTGCGACCAGCAAACTAATTTTATGATAATCGATAATACTTATTTTTTGTAAATTTGATAAACTATCCGGATATTAATTAACATTATTAACATTTACGTTAATCATATTATTAAACTGAAATGATGTTTGAAATTTTATACTGATTTGCTATATAACTATTAATATTACTTAAAAAATTTGTTTCTTACTTTAATAGCTTGTTGTATTATTGTTAAACTTATTTGTTACTATCTACAAATAAGTATTGTATACTTTTGCTCGGTATACTGCGAGTCTATTAAAAACTTTAGTTGTTTCACGGAATACATTCAATATGTATGATTTCTTTTGACGATTCGTACAATGCGCTATGTTAAAAATTCTTCTAAAATGCAGCCAAGGCGGCATTGCAGTTCGAATCACAACATGAGAGTGCTTTATCGAAACTTCAAGCCCTGGAGGATACTACAAAATATCAACGTCGTGAGGAGGAGGAAATTATGGTAAAAGATAAGCCATCTTTTACGGTACAACTAAACGGACCTACCAATTTAGTCGAGGGACAAAGCGCACATTATGAGTGTCGCATAGAACCTTACCCCGATCCTAATATGAAAGTAGAATGGTTTCACAATGGCAAACCATTATCCACTGGTCACAGATATAGAACTACTTGTGATTTTGGATTCGCATCGTTGGATGTATTGACTGTATATGCCGAGGATTCGGGCACATATGCTTGTCATGCCACTAATAAATTGGGATCGGCGAAGAGCTCGATTAATCTTGACGTGAAGTGTGAGTAATACACAGGACATTTGCATGATAATGTAGGTCGGATTAGTCGATTTTATTGTGTATGTACAGTATGTGTGTAACATTCTTTTAATTGTTAACTTTAATTTACACATTACATATTTTATTCCTTTTTTCTTCATAACAATTTAAATTTTTTCTTCTTTTTATATCGCTTTACATTGACTTGAATGAAAATTTCTTTCTAGCTCGAGCATCAATCATTCATGACACGCAACATGAGAGCGCATTGAAAAAAATACAATATCTTGAAGATGATTCAAGATATAAACGAGTGATCGAAGAAGATACGATCATCGCTGAGAAGCCCACTTTCGGAAGACCATTGAAAAATATTGAGCATCTTCCAGAAGGCAAAAACGCTCATCTCGAAGCTACATTGACGCCTGTGAATGATCCGACGATGGTAGTCGAATGGTTTAGAAATGGACGTCCCATTCCTCAAGGACATAAATTTAAAACAATCTACGATTTTGGATACGTCGCTCTCGATATTCTTTATGCTTATCCTGAAGATTCTGGTACCTATATGTGCAAAGCAAGAAACACTATAGGCGAAGCGATCACTACTTGCATGATCAGCGTGGATTGTAAGTAATATTTTATATTTATATTATATAATACCTATATTCATAAACTATATTTGTATAATCACCGTATATTCATTAAATAATGTCCCTTTTTCGCGGACTTTCGAAACAAACGAAAAAATACGAGATAAAACGAGATGATTTTTTATATGCTTACTTTGCAAATTTACAAGTGTGAATAAAAATTTATAATTTGTTATTTACAATGCTTTTAATCGTTAAAAGTGTGAACATATGATTATCAATTATTTTGATTTAAATAGCAAAACAAGGCTTATATCTCGATACATTGGATGCACAACGTTTGCAAAAAATTCGAGAGTTAGAAACTGTTGAAGTTAAAGAAGAAATCGAAAAGGAGGTTATTTATCAAAAACCTGTATTCTTGACCCCGTTGAACAATTTGGATCATCTCAAGGAAGGCGAACACGCTCATTTAGAATGTCGTGTGGAGCCAATTAACGATCCAAACTTAAAAATCGAATGGTACATTTAACATTCAATATGCACACAAAACAATATAACGATGACTTTAATACGATGTTGAATAATTCTTTGATTAAATTATCTTTAATTTCATAGGTTTGTTAATGGAGTTGCAATTAAAACTGGTCATCGCTTCCGTACAACACATGATTTCGGCTATGTCGCTCTTGACATTCTTTATACATATCCTGAAGATTCCGGTACTTATATGTGTAAAGCAACCAACCTAGTTGGCGAAGCGGTTAATACTTGCACTATCAAAGTCAGCTGTAAGTATCTATAATATCATGTTACAGATTAATTCGATATATTCGTACATATTAGTTCTATACTAATTGTTTTGCGTAACTGTTAGCAAAAATCACACTCTATCCGAAATCTAATTTTTCATCGGTGAAGAACTTGATAAAACGTTCATTAGAAACGATAAAATTTATGAACAAGGAAACAATCATTTGTCAGACAAATAGTAGCAATACCTTATTATAAAGAAAATTTTCTTTAAAGTCTATAAACTTTTGCAAATTTAAACAAGTTGTCTTGCAAATGATATAAAAATATTATATTATATACATGTATTTTTTTTTTGAAACAATCATTAACCATATTACATATCTCAAGAAACATCGAATCGTTCTAACTCTTCGGATTAAGATTGATCGTAAAATCAGATTTATTTTATTTAAGAAAGCAAGAACTCTCTCTCTCTTCCTCTCTCTCTTTAAACAAAATAATTATAGGTAATCCCTTTTTTATCATAGCACGGCGGAGTATTCTTTTGGATACCCAACATCCGGATGGTTTAGAAAAGATTCGAGAATTAGAGTCTCAAGGTCATCTTGCACGTTTAGAAATTGAGGAACCACCAGTAATACCACCGAGATTTGTCTCTGAGCTTAGGGTAAATAATAATAATATAAATAATAATAATTAAAATTGCATTACAAACAGCTCAAATAAATTAACAAATTAAAATTAACAATAAACCTCCCAGGTCAAGAATAAATTGAGCAATAATGGTTGTTAAATATATCTATAAATTTATTATAATGATAACATTAATATACGGTACGTTTCGACTTCACAGACACAGAGTCCTCATCAACCGTAAAAAACCCCTTAACAGATGAAACTAATTTCCTCTTAAGACATCCAAAATTATTACGATTATACTATATGTCCTAACTGTGCAGATGGTAACACGTTAGTAAACCATCTGCACAGTTAGGACATATAGTATAATCGTAATAATTTTGGATGTCTTAAGAGGAAATTAGTTTCATCTGTTAAGGGATTTTTTACGGCTGATGAGGACTCTGTGAAGTCGAAACATACCGTATATTAATGTTATCATTATAATAAATTTATAAATATATTTAACAACCATTATTGCTCAATTTATTCTAGACCTGGGAGGTTTATTGTTAATTTTAAATGATAATAATAATTTAAAAAAGAAGCAACTTGTTATATAAATTGAATAAAAAAAAATTAATATGAAAAATTTTTTTAGGGTACAACTGAAGTATATGAGGGGCAAACGGCTCATTTTGAGTGTCAAGTAGAGCCTTTGCATGACGCAAATCTAAGAATTGAATTCTTTCACAATGGTAAACCATTGCCATCGGCAGCTCGTTTCCATGTAACTTTTGATTTTGGGTATGTAGCTTTAGACATTGGTCATGCCGTACCCGAAGATGCAGGACAATATTCCGTAAAAGCGATTAACACATTGGGACAATGCGTATCATCTATCGAGCTTAAGGTAATCTCAAGAGATAACATTATTCTGGATTCTCAACGGCCGGAGGGAATGGATAAAATTAGGGAGCTTGAAGCTCAACAGCCATGGAAGAGACCGGAGATTCCGGAGCCTCAAACTCGACAGCGACCAGTTTTCACGCAACCATTGCAAAATATCGATAACATTATCGAGGGTCACACTGCACATTTTGAATGCAGACTCATACCCGTGGGTGATCCTATGCTTAAAGTGGAATGGTTTAGAAACGAAGTGCCTCTTGAGACAAGTAAGAATTGCTAGATACAAAAGTTTAATATTAAGACATACAATATTATCTAGTATAATTCTATAATATTGCGACAATACAATTTTCACGGAAAATTAATTTTTAATGTAATTTCTTTAGGTTCGCGAATCACAAAAGTGCATGATTTTGGCTATGTATCTTTGGATATTGCTCACGTACGTGACGAAGATGAAGGCGTTTATATGTGCCGCGCGTCTAATCCGTTGGGCGAAGCGGTTACCACAGCTTCAATAAAAATTAAAAGTAAATAATTTTTTTATCTATTTAATTTAAGCTAACAAGATTGATTTTTTTACGATAGTAATCTTTAGGACAATTATTATAATTATTTAATAAATTATTCTCATATTAATATATGTAGCTAAGGCAAGCATACAGTTAGATACTCAACATCCAGAGGCGCAACGTAGAATCGCTCAGTTGGAAGCTAAAGAAGCCGGACGACCCGAGGAGCCGGAAAAAGTTTTTGATAAACCGATTTTCACGCAGTTGCTAACTGGACCAATTGAACTTTGGGAAGGACAAACGGCTAGATACGAATGCAGAGTCGTTCCTGTCGGCGACGCCAGTTTAAGATTCGAATGGTACATGAACGGAGTCGAATTAAAAATGGGTAAGACAGTCATAAGTTCTTTAGCATTAAATTACTATTAGTATCATAGTAACCTTAATAACATCATTATGCATCGATATTTAGGTTCACGCTTCCACGTAAATCATGATTTCGGATATGTAACATTGGACATTCTAAAAGTTGTCCCTGAAGATTCTGGAGTCTATACTTGCAAAGCGATTAACAATGCAGGAGAGGCAATATCATCGATCTCTTTGAAAGTAAAAGCGCGTTCAGCTATCGATTTCGACAGCATACAAACGGATGCGTGGCAGAAGATTCAATTGAAAGAATCAGAAATGAATAAAGTGCCAGAAATGTTTGTCGATACAACTCCGCAGCAAGCACCAGTTTTCACCAAACATCTTGAAAGCTTTGATAAATTAATAGAGGGTCAACGTGTTTATTTAGAAGCTCAGGTGGAGCCGCGGGCGGATCCCAATTTGAGAGTGGAATGGTGCAAGAACGGTATAGCTCTCCAAACTGGAACAAGGCTTCGAAGTACATTTGATTTCGGTTTAGTAACGCTATCGATCAACGGGCTAAGACCTGATGATTCCGCAATTTATACATGCAAAGCAACCAATCTTTTGGGAGAAGCTGTATCAACCTGTAGTTTGAAAATTGCCGATTGTCATTGGTTATTAGGAGATACTTTGCATCCTGATGCTCTACCGAAAATTGATACTTTAGAACAGCCTCAGAGAATCTCTACTGAGCAACCGGAACCTATTTATAAAGAACCAGTTTTTATCACTCATTTAAATAATGTAGAATGCATCGAGGGTGATAACGCTCACTTCGAATGCAATGTAGAACCGTCGAAAGATCCGACTATGAAGATTGAATGGTTTTTGAACAATAAACCTTTGCCGACTGGAGCGAGATTTAAAAGCACTTACGATTTTGGTTACGTGGCTCTGGACTTGACTCACGCTTATGAAGAAGATTCTGGAGTGGTTACTGTTAAAGCTACAAATTCAATAGGAAGTGCACAGACATCTGGTAGTTTAAAATGTACTAGTAAACAAAATATTTATTTTCAAACGCAACATCCACAAGGAGAAGTTGGACTTGAGAAAGTGAAAAAAGCCGAAGATGCTTATCTATCAAAATATAGGAAACCAGAAGAAACTCCTGAACATGAATATTCTAAACCGATCTGGACGGTGCCTCTCGGACCTGAATTTAAATTGGGAGAAGCTGCACCGTTACATCTAGAGGGACAAGTTGAGCCAAAGGATGATCCTAATTTAAAGATTGAGTGGTACTTTAATGGAAAACCTTTAGAACATGGTTCACGCTTTAAAATGACTAGCGATTTTGGATTCATCACTTTGAACTTAACGGACGTTTATGAACGTGACTCTGGTATTTACACTTGTAAAGCCTATAACAAAGCAGGCGAAGCTTTCACTTCAACGACGGTTTATTGTTCTACGAAGGAAAATATCATAGAAAAGTCGCAGCATCCTAAAGGAAAAGAAGGTCTCGAAGCTATTCAAGATCTGGAGGAGTCTTTAAAACGGCAAGAAAGAGTTCCTCTAGCAGAGGAAGAAGGTCAACCACCAATGTTTACATCGCAATTCGAGAATCTAACTAATCTCTTAGAAGGAGAGATTGCTCACTTTGAAGCATCTCTCATCCCTACTGGTGATCAAACTATGATAGTTGAATGGTTTTACAATGGCAAATCTTTAGAAGCTAGTCACCGTACAAGAATCGTTTATGCTTTTGGCATGGTTGTTTTCGAAATTCTCGGTACTAAAATAGAAGATTCGGGTACTTATACTTGTAGAGCCACCAACAAATGGGGTAAAGCAGAAATTAGCGTACAATTAGAATGTATCGACAAGTCCAAAGGACAAAAACCTAAATTTACAACGCAGATTCAATCTTTGGAAAGTTTAAAGGATGGCCAATCAGCTCACTTTGAGTGTAATCTGATCCCAGTAGGTGATCCTCATATGAAAGTCGAATGGTTCCACAATGGAAAACCTCTACGGCATTCGTCACGTTTTAAAATGGTCTCTGATTTCGGCTTTGTAGTTATGGATATCGCCGGCGTGATGTCTCACGACAGTGGAGAATACGTTTGCAAAGCTAGCAATAAATACGGCGAAGATTATACAAAAGCTACGATCAAGTGCTTTGGCAAAAGCGAAGTTTACTTAGATTCTCTGCAGCCGGATTCGCTTGCTAGAATTCGAGAACTTGAAAGTTATACGGGAGAACAAGCAACTACATCTACGACTTTTATCACTGAACCACCGAAATTCATTACGCAGATTGTGGACATAACAAAACTGGTAGAAGGACAGTCCGCACACTTCGAAGCTAGGCTAACTCCAGTGAATGATCCCGATTTGAAAGTCGAATGGTACTATAATAGCAAAAAACTTCCTCACGGTCATCGATATCGCACTTTCCATGACTTTGGTATTGTTATCCTAGACATACTCTATTGTTACGAAGAGAATTCTGGAGTTTACGAATGCAGGGCCGTCAACAAATATGGTGAAGATTTTACGAGAGCAACGCTCAAATGCTTCTCCAAAGCTAATCTTGTTTTAGAATCGCAACTTCCAAAGGGTATGGAGGGCGGTCTAGAAAAAATACAAAATCTCGAAGACTCAATGATTCGTACGAAGGACGAAAAAATTGTAGAAGAACGAGGCAAAGCTCCTATGTTCACTGTACCTTTGAGTAACATTGATGATCTACGAGAGGGAGAAAGTGCGCATTTTGAGGCACGAGTAATTCCTACGGACGATCCAAAATTAAAGGTAATTTAATAAACAATATTTAAATATTAAGGGCAATGAGCTAATTTTCATTAAAATCCTTAAATCAATCTAATATATTGCGAAGAATATCACGTAATGTTGGCGTTTCGTCCCGGCTTCCACTACTGGACTCATCAGTAAGGTATTGTAATGGAAGCCTACCTTAGACGCCTGATTAGAATCTCGATTTAATAACTAAAACAGGCGTCTAAGGTAGGCTTCCATTACAATACCTTACTGATGAGTCCAGTAGTGGAAGCCGGGACGAAACGCCAACATTACGTGATATTCTTCGCAATATATTAGATTGATTTAAGGATTTTAATGAAAATTAGCTCATTGCCCTTATTTCATTATATTAGTAGTTGAATACTTATTGAGTCTTATCATAAATATTTAAATATTAAATCTTATAGGACCGTACATGTGAGAAACACGACCAATAAGAAAATGCCTTTGACGGTCGAGCTGGATCTTAAGTCTAATTATAATTCCGTGTGAATTTATACATATATTACGTATGTAGTCTTTTAAACCGCGCGTCGAACAATTTTTCGGTTTTAAAATGCCATTCTACGAAACTATCGCAATAATATCACGAGTTAAATTATCTAGCAATTTAACAATTTTGATGCTCATAGCATCTTGGGTCTTAATAATGTTGAACGACATATTAAAATCTATGAATTAAAATTTGTAAATAATTAATTTATATTGCAAAAAATATTACCTCGGCCGGGAGTTGAACCCGGATCTAAATAATTTAATTTGTGATATTATTGCGGTAGTTTTGTAGAGTGGCGTTTCAAGACCGGAAAATTGTTCGGCGCGTGGTTTAAGACTACATATGTACATAATATATAAATTCACACGGAATTACAATTAGCACCTAAGATCTAGCTCGACCGTTAATGGCATTTTTTTATTGATTGTATTATAAATTAATAATTTACAATAATTTTAGTCCTATATCATAAGCATGTAAATATATGTTTTATTAGGCATTATATTGTTTCTTTTAATACAGGTCGAATGGTTTTGGAATGGTAAACCATTGCGAACAGGATCTCGCTTTCGCACTTTTTGCGATTTTGGTTTCGTCATTTTGGAAATTTCTCCCATCTACCCTGAAGACTCCGGCGAATATAGTTGTAGAGCAACAAATAACTACGGTGAAGCAGTAACAACGTGCACGATGAAGTGTACGGGCAAACGTAGTATCATTTTAGAATCTCAGTTACCTAAAGGTATGGAGAGTACAATTGATAAGATTGCAGAGTTGGAAGGTCTTGGAGCTGCTTCAGGTCAGATCAGTCCCGAGGATGATACTGGTAGACCGCCAGAATTTATCACGACTCCATTTGACTTAACTTTGACTGAAAATTCTCTTGCTCACTTCGAATGCCGATTACAGCCAATTAACGATTCCAGCATGAGAGTCGAATGGTTCCATAACGGCAAGCCTCTTCTCGCTGGTAGTAGAGTCAAAACGATTCATGACTTCGGTTTCGTCATTCTAGAAGTTGCAAATTGCTATCAACGCGATTCCGGCTTATATACTTGTAAAGCTACTAATCGTCATGGTGAAGCCACAGTATTATGCAAGCTTCAAGTTCACGGACGTCAAGGTATTATCCTGGAGCCTCAATTACCGAATAATTTTAAAACCGGTACAGAAAGCATTCAGAAATTGGAAGAGTCCCTATATAAAAAAGATGAAATCTTGGCGGAGGAAGAAATGCCGAATCCACCGAAATTTATTGTCGAACTGAAAGATATCGAAGTTGAAGAAGCTGGACCGAGTCACTTCGATTGTAGAGTCGAGCCTGTAGGTGATCCTACTATGCGTATTGATTGGTTCCACAATGGTCGGCCCCTTGCAACTGGTTCTCGTATCCATCAAATTAATGATTTTGGATTTATATCATTGGATATGTCGTACACATATGCACGAGATAGCGGCGAATATGTCTGCAGAGCTACCAACAAATGGGGTTCTGCTACTACCAAGGCTACCATTACTTGCAAATGTAAGTGGCATATTTTGATACTAAAAATATAATAGATGCACTTTTATATCTTAACTATTATAATTAAAATATAAAACAAAAATAATTTCTTATTCCTCTTTTTTCTCGTAGCCAAGAAAACGATAGATTTTGATTCTCAATTGCCAATGGGAATGGACGGTGAAAAACTAAAAGAATTGGAGAGAGGACCAGTCTCTCAAGCTCCTGCGGAAGAAGCACCACAGCAACCGCCTCATTTCATCACGCAAATCCAATCGACAACCGTCGACGAGGGTGAACCAGTCAGATTTGAATGCCGTGTGGAGCCCAAAGAGGATCCGAATCTACGCATCGAGTGGTACAGAAATGGCAAATTGATACCTGCTGGGCACAGATATAGAACGGTTTACGATATAGGGTTCGTATCTATGGACATCTTATATGTTTATCCCGAGGATTCTGGTGAATATGTTTGTAAAGCCATCAATAACCTTGGAGAAGATACCACTCGAGCTGCTGTATCTTGCAAGAGTATGTTACAAAATCTTCTACCAATTCTCATTTTTCAAGCTAGATTAGCTGTATCAGATAGGACTTATCAAATAAATATTTCTTTTACAGAATTACCAAGTATTATTTTGCAAAATCAAGTACCAAAAGGTATGAAAAAATCTGAGACCTTGATGCAGATGGAAGCAACAATTAAAAAATATACTTCGGAAATTCATTTAACTGAAGATGATCTATATGACGCGGATAAAAAACAGCCGCCTCGTTTCGTTACGCAGATTCAAGATCAGACCGATCTTATTGAAATGAATAGTACCAAGTTTGAATGTCAATTGGCACCTGTGGGTGATCCAAATATGAAAGTCGAATGGTTCTTTAACGGGAAACCATTACCTCATAAGAATCGATTTACGCCTATTTATGATTTTGGTTATGTCGCGATGAACTTTGGTTGGGTTTATCCAGAAGACAGTGGCGAGTATTTATGCAGAGCTACGAACCTTTATGGAATGGACGAGACCAGAGCTATAATCAAAACTGCGGGAAAACCAGGAATTATCTATGAATCTCAACTTCCAAAAGGCATGAAAAGTATCGAAAAGATCAGAGAAATGGAAGCAGCATGGCAAACGTAAAATATTATTTTACACTTTATTTGTGTATCTATAATAAGAAAAACAATTTCTTTGACTGATAGAATTAATAAGACGCGCACAAAATTTATTTACGTTTTATATGTATCTTGAGATATTGTTTCGAGAAAAAAAATTTTCCAAAGAAAAAAAGTGTTTTTTCCAAGTATTTATTTGTCCATATTAAAAAATCACCGTGATAATGATCCCTTTTACATCGAGCACTTGCACGCGTATTAACTAGCTAGTAACTTTTTTTTCTACTAAATTATATTAATTTCAACAATATACTCAAAGACTGATGTACTATTTGATACACTAAGCATGAAAATAATTAATTAAATACAGATATCATGTATATGTTTACATGTATCGTCGAAATTAAAGATAACTCAATAGAAAGTTACCAGTTAGTATCTGTATTAAGTGCACGATATAAATTAGGCTAATATGAAATAATAATATGTATTATTTAAAACTTCAAACGCATCTTATTACAGTGTACCCGAAGAGGAAAGTGAACAAGAAAAAGTACGCTCGGCGCCTATTTTCGTGACCAAACCAGAACCGGTAATCGTTGAAGAAGGCGACTGGTCTAGATTCTGTTGTCGAGTCACTGGACATCCAAGACCTCGAGTTATGTGGATAATCAATGGACATACGATAGTCAACGTAAGTTTTAAAATATTCCTTCCAATACATTAGATGATTTCGATACATTAAATGATTTTTGGCAAAAATATATTTATAATGTAATTATATTAAATTTGTCCCCTTTTTCACGCAGGGATCCCGCTATAAATTAACATACGATGGCATGTATCATCTGGATATACCAAAGACCAGACAGTACGATCATGGAAAAGTGGAAGTGATTGCAAGGAGCTCCGTTGGCGAAGCACAAACAGAAACGACTCTAACGGTCAAACAGCGAAGCGACGATTACCGCGGTGTATTGAAAAATTCACCAAGACGTAAGTTTTCGTTTCTATCATACATACAAATATACGTAACTACGACTTCTTCGTGCCTCACAATGAAATAAAGTGTCTACATTTTTATAGAATAATGAGATTGTATATGCAGAAAAAATATGAATATAAAAATTGTATATTTAATTAATTTTCAACTTTCTGTAACTTCCTTAAAAAGTACGAAAAATTCACGCGCAGTAACAATTTGAATAGATTACAATATAGATTTATCATATATGAAAATGAAAAACAAAGCGGTTGTAAACCTCCAATAACGAAAGGCGAGCGTAGATTGGAAAATATCGAGCAACCGAAACACAGTACATTTTATATACAAGTATATCGACACATGCATTCTAATACAAAGAACACTGTAAACTATTTGAACATAAATGATTCCTTTTTTCCTGCTTTCCACATTTTGGCACTCCAAAGCCACAAAAACCATTTCAAATCCAACAGCTTCTTCTGCTTCTCCTTCTTCTTCGTCATGGTTGGAAATATCGACGAGAATATTAGAGCATCTTAGATCAAAGGTATCGTATCTCTTATATTCAGGTATGAAAAATATAATCATCGGAAAAACGTTAATATTGTCTTATTTTTATTAATGTTTTTTTTCCTTGTAGACAAGATCATATATATAGTGTTGTGCTCGAGAATATAAGTTTATTGCTTATTAGTGTGTTACTCTTTGACTATATAAGTATGGACTGTCAGTGGGCTACATATTCTATAATAAAATCAAGCGAGAAGTGTTGTCAAGTGTAAAGGTTTTTGATTAACTACAATCCACGCAAAAATTCAAATCAGTTATCTTAACCAAATTGTATCTCTAAATTTTTTGTGTAAAATCTTACTCTAAAAGCCGTATTTTTGCACGAAACGAACAAATGTAACAGAAAAAAGTGTCGTTCTGCCCGCGAAGCGAGATATTAATCGTTAAAGTTTAATATGGCTTATCAATTTTCGTGTATTATTTTACAATTTCGTTTATTAATAATAGGTATATTTATAGTTTTAATATTATATATAATATGTATATGTGTAAATAGAATATATAACTAAATTTTTACATTAATTTCTCACGTACATTAATTTTTCATGTAAAAAAAGCTTATAGTTTCATTCTTACACTGTTTCTTATTTTTGTAGCGCGTGCTACTACAATTTGTTACGAAACAGTAAGTAGACATTCAAAGAAACATTCGATTCGCTCTTCAATGTTTGTTACAGTTTGTGCTTTAGTTCTTGGTTACTGATGGCGCTGCTATTTGGCAACAAGTATGAAGTTGGTTACTGGCAGTCCAAACTTATATAATCAAAGGTGTTATTTAAGTTCATTTAAGTTAAAGGGAATGTTGAAGCCACCTGTATTACCGATAAAGCTAGCATTTTTTTACGTTTTCGTTCCTGTCTAATTTCTTCGTAATAATTTTAAACAATAAAAATTCCTTCTCCACAATTAAAATATTCAGACTAATGTACCTGTCCTTGATGTATTTTGTGTCCAAAACTGGAAAAAGTGAAAGGGCAAGTACATTAGCATGAATATTTAAATCATGGAGAAAGAATTTTTATTCTGCGGAACTACTACGAAGAAATTAGACAAGAACGAAAACGTAAAAAAAAACGCTAATTTTATCGATAATATTGGGCTGTTCCAGCATCCCTTAAATCTCAATTTATTTATTTCTTACATTTATACTTAACTTTTAATCTGTATTTAAGATATTTATTCAAGATAATAGATTGTTCGGAAAATTCGTTTCAAATTTTGTTAGCTTAAAATTATATACAGAATATATTCATTACAAAGTTTCCGACTGTCTGATGTGAAAGTTTTTAGTTTTCCCTAAAAAATTCGTCTTTTTAAAATGTTCGTATTATACTATTTTTTATTACTGAATTATTGGCGAGTTAAATAAAAAGGAACATTCCGATTTTATTACTTATAACTTCGTTAAAAATCGTTGTACCACAATTCAAGACACATATTTTTAATATTTGCACTGTCGAATGGCATAATTGCCTATTTTATTAAAGATAGAATTATAAATTAGAGCTAAAAATATGATATTACGCAATAGTTACAAGAAGAATAATATCATAGCATAAATGCATATATTATATATTCTATTTTTTTTAATTGACATTTATAATATATCACTCAATAGAAAAACGTTTCAGCTTTAAGAATTTAGTTTTGTAATTGTAATACGATGATTTTTAACGGAGTTATGAGCAATCAAAGTAAAAATGCTACTTTTTATTTAATTCAAGAACAAAAAATTATAGGAACATTTTTAAAACAACAATTTTGTAAGGGAAAGTTCAAATTTTCATGATAGATTGTCGAGAAATTTTGCAATTTTTTTTTGGGCACACAAAGTGAGAAAAAAGTTTTTTATTTTCTTTTAACTCGTACTTATTATATATAAAAATTATTAATTTTACACAAACTAAAAAAATATAGTGAGTTTTTAAAGGTAAAGATTTAAAGCTTAAAGTCCTTTTTCTAAATTTAAATTTCGTTCATTTTTAACGAAGATGTACATATACAATTTTAGGTTAACAGAATTTCGAATGAACTTTTTTCAATAAATATGGAATAGTCCACTCCCCCGATGGTCTTAACTTTGATATATCTTGTCAAGGTCATGTTTTTAAGTAGGGATGTGCGATCTCGATCCGATCTTTTAAAAGATCGATCTTTTTGCAAAAAAGGATCGATTTTTTAATCGATTCGTCAGTATCCGATTTTAAGATAGATCGATTCATTTAATAAGAGATCGATCGTTCTTCGAAGCGGGCGGATTCGAAAATTCAAGATATATTTTGATATATTATTTTATTTCTGTTGTTCACTGAATGTTGAACAAAGGATAAAATAATATCTGGATACACTTAGGTGATGTTTCTTAATGCCGTTAGCAGCCCTGTCTTGTAGTTGTAGTCGCCGTCCGTTTACTAGGTGTGTGTTCCAAAATTGACTGTCAGTACTGAAAACCTATAGTGCTCGTGATATAAATTATAGATTTTCAGTACTGGCAGTCAATTTTGGAACACCCTAGTTGTCATAGTCATAATTTTTGAATGGCATAACGGCGCGTGCTGATATTTCTGATGTTTCTGTTCACAAAGGTAAACCATTTCTTATATTTATTTATTTCGTATATTTTATTTATATTATATTTCGTATATTTTCATATAATAATTTTTATTGTGTTTTTGTTGCACTATTAAACAAATATGGTTTATAATATATATAATAAAAAATACTTAATATTTTCTTTTAGAACTCTATTATTTTATTGAAAATAAGTGTTTCATGTCGTGTTCCAAAGAATTTAAAGTTATAATATCATTATTGTGCTTACACTGTCTACATTTACAGTTACCGGTAAATATTAATCGGGTTTAATAATATCCGTAGTTACAACTAGCAATTACATATTACTGACAAAATGTATAAATAAATGCTAGTTAAATTTTAATTTATACCAATTGACACTGACAGTTGTCATCAAATTGAATTTATATACGACATTTTACCGAATCTTATATGTTAGTAATTCATTTATGTCATAACTACAGTACAAAATATTATTATAGATTAATTAATTAAACCTAAATTTTTATTTTAAATTAAAATTATTTTACTCGGAGGCAAATCAGATTTATGTTTAAATTCTTTTGTTGAATTTTTAAATCATCAAATTATCATCTATTCCATTATCACTTCTCGTGAGATGTCACAAAAAAATTTTAATTGAATCGATCTTTAATAGATCGATTTCAAACAATCCGATTCTAAATCGATTCAAAAATCGATACAATTAAAGGAGATCGCACATCCCTAATTTTAAGTAATCTCCAACAAGAAATCATTATAACCGTTGCTCGTTATTCGTTGAACTAAATAATCTTCAACAAAAAAAACTTCTGCTATATAAAACAAAAATTTTCTTTGAAAACATTATTTTTTTATATAATGTTTGTTTTTAAAGTCAAGACTGTTTTTAAAGTAAAAATTTATAATTTAGTAACAACTTGTTATTCAAAGCGAAGTTTTCCCTCCTTGCTAAGCTTAACGATTTTTCAGAGAGAGTGAATCTTGCTTCGCGTCGAAAGTCGAAGGGAAACGCTCCTAAAGAGGGGGTGAAGTGGGATGGACTATTTATAGGCCTGTCCAAATCTCGGCCTGTCTAAATCGGAGCCTAATCCCGGATATACAATAGGTGTTTTAAGCCTTAAGTAATAAAAAATTTTAACTAATTACAATCAAATTCGAGGAGAATAATCGATTATAATTCGTCCATTTTTTATGTCTTAAGATTTAAAACTCTATTGTAGATCCAGGGTAAACGCTTCCACCTCTCCGCCGTCTTGATAGAACGAGACAGAGCGTAAACAACAAAAGGATAGACGCCAGCGCTCCGCAGGAATTCAGGTCTATCCAAGTATCGTAAAGCGAAGAGGCTGAGTTACCCCGTATCTCAATCGAAATAGCCTATCGTATTCTCTGTCTGTAGCAGAATAAGTCTTAAACAGATAAAATCTTCATTAGTACTTTATAGATTATAATTTACTTGCACAGTTACGTATTTCAACAACAAAAATACCATTAAACATATCACGCATCAATTGGGTAAAATGCCTTTCGAATTCCATTTAAAATACCAAATATAAGATACTTTTAAAAAGAGTATTTAAAATACAAAATGTAAAATAGATTCTTTTAATCCATTTTAAATATAAAATAGATAAATGGGAATTTTAAATGGTTTTCAAATGCAAAATGGTCTTACTTGGTATACATATTTTTAAGTATTTTATGTTGGAAATTACTTTGCATAATGCTGGAACATCCATTTTTTTAATAAAAATCGATATTTATGGATTTGTAATTAATATCTATTTTATATTACAGTTTAATTCACAATTTATTGGGATAATTATAAAAAATTAAAGAAAATACAAGAAGAAGGAAGTCAATAACAGTCAAAGCTGGATCATAATGCTTATTATAATTATGTGTGAATTTTGTATACTGCGTATGTAGTCCCCCCATATAAATCGCGACGCTGATAGTTTTTCAGCATTGACGCGCGCATACATACTTACTACCGCAGTAATATCACGAACTTTAATTGATTAACAATTCTTGATGCTCATAGCATCATGGATCTTAATAGTTTTGAATGACATATTAAAATCTGAAAAGGATAATTTTTAATTTTCGTATTTAAAATTCTGTAATTCTTATGTATTGCGAAAAATATTAATAATTTTGGTGTTTCGTCCAGGTTTCCACTATTGGACTCATCAGTAAGGTATTGTAGTGGAAACCTACCTTAGACGCCTGTGTAAATTATTAAATCGAGATTCTATATATAGAGATATACGCGTATCTCAGTATTTGCAAGAAATTTTTACGAATATCGATAGACCTCTGATGGGGGAGGGGATCGACGTAGTAATATTCTTCGCAATATTTATCTAAAGTAGGAATAACGTCTTTTTCAGGATCGACGTGTATTAACAAATATTAAAATCTTTTTAAGACTGTATAATGATAAATAATATTTATATGGGAGTACTACATACGCAGTATACAAAATTCACACATAATTATAATAAGCATTGTGATCCAGCTTTGACTGTTATTAACTTCCTTCTTCTTATTGTTGTTTATCATTGTACAGTCCTAAAAAGATTTTAATATTTGTTTAAAAAAATACATTTTACAGTAATACAGTTTTATTTAATTTAATAAACGCACTATTTGCTTTGAGTAACAATTGTTTTTTAAATGTATCAGACAACATCGTCATAGAAGAAATTGTGTTCTCACCAATCACGATACTTGATTCTTCTTAAGGGAAAATTTATGAATACATAAAAAAACCATTTACCTATTTTATAAATGGTTAAATGATAGACATGATTCCATTTCAAATGTAAAATGAAAATGGTTTTCTAAAAAACTATTCAAAATGGAAAATGCAAAATGCCATTTCCATTTTAAATATGTATTTAAAATGGAACTATTTTAAATATTACCCAGCCCTGCGCATCATTGAGTCAATACATAATTAAACGATGAAATGTATTGAAAATGGAACATGTTGGTATTCATATTTTCGATAATAAGAAATAAGAATTCACGAAAAAGATTGGTATAACGTTGTTATATAGATGCCACAGGCAGAGAATAATAGGCTATTCCGATTGAGATACGGGGCCCCTCAGTCCCTTCGCTCTACGACGCTTGGACAGGCTTGATTCAGGCGGAGTACTGGCGTTTATCCTTTGTTGTTTCCGCTCTGTATCGCTCTATCGAGACAACGGAGGGTACGGTCAAAGTCTCGCTACAAATGCTTTGAAGCGTTTGATTGACCAATCAGAAGAAACAACTTTACAAATTTTGACCAATCAAAAAACGCTTCAAAGCATTTGTAGCATAGCAACGCGTTAACCGTACCCGGAGAGATGGAAACGTTTATATAGGCTCATAAACCGAGTTTTGGACAGGCCTAATTTATACCTTATTTAATATTTATTCTTATTTATTACACCATACTCTTTGCTTTCTTATTACTATAATATGAAATAATTCATGTCAGGTATTGTTTATAGAAAGTGCAAATATTCAGCAGATTTCCGTATTTCTCATCAATATTGCGCAATCAATATGATTTGATCTTAATTACTATCATGTTTTTAAATTATTGTTTTTCTTGCATTTTTGTTTGTCCTTTTCTTTGTTTTTGAATATGCGTTTTTTATATCCTATATTCTATACCCGTCCTTTAATGCCTAGCACGAAAAATAGCAAGCGGTTGTATATCAAAACTAATCCGTCGAAAAAAATAAACGACGATTTACGTAAAAGTACTTAATTAATCAGACGAAGAAACTTCGCAATTCAACAGATTTATTTGTTGTTTTTAGATTGAAAGAATACCTTCTCATAATACGAAGGAGAGTACGTTCATAAGAGATAAATAGTTTAATCTAACAATATTTTCGATAATATATAAAAGCAAAGCAATTTCAGATATGCGTTAACCATACGAATTTTCCATATCCAGCTCGATTCCTATTATCTGTTATCTATGTGTCGTCGATATGTGTTGTATCATCGTTCACGTACTGTGTCTTAGACATCATGATTTTCGATTAGATATTTTTATTTTTTGATTAAAGGAAATGTAACCTTGCTTCAATGAAGTATCTGAATCCGATCTTGTAATCAATTATAACGTGAATAATTCATTAAATTTTCAAGGAAAAATGTACAATTGCTTCGAGTATATAATTCCTGCAAAAATGCCTCACTAAAGAACACTGTATTCGCTATCGAGATTAAATCAATCTATGATATATTCATACGCATTTTTATTTATGAGAAACATAAGATGTACGAGGGCACGTAGATATCATGTATTGTTTCTTTAGCCTGGTACGATTATGGACTAACACAGTACCAGACCGAGCGGGAAAACACAGAATTGGAGCGTGTATTTGACGAACGTCATCAAAGCGTTTCCCAAGGAATCGAAATTGCCACAGAGCATCTTGGCCCTAAAGTTATTAAAGAGCCTGAGACCGAATGGCAAAAATCCGTTAAGAGCAAAAAGAATGAAGATTATTATAATAAGTTGATGAATCTTGAAGAGGAACAAATGCTCAAAGAGACCAGATTAAGGGAAGCTTCGCATCAATTTGCTATTCCTGGCGACAAAGTCATTGCACATTCCTTAGCAAAGGGAATGGCTCAAAAGTATGAAGAAAGTTTGTAAGTATTATAATAAATATTTAATAATATTAGCAACCTGTATTTAAATATTTGATAATTTTTCATTACTAGAGAGGAACAACCACAGCAAGAACCTATACAACCATTTCCGAAATATGTAAAAAAACCATTTGTTACTGAAGTGGATATAGATACAGAACGCGTTAAAGCCGCTGAAAAACATCTTCCAGAACCGTCTGAATCCACAGTTCATGGTCGCGAAGTTCATGTTGCAAAACAAAAACAAATACAAAAGGAAGTCAAAGGTGACGTAGAAATAACAAGAAAAATTACAGCAACAGAGACAACGGAAGTAGAACATAAAGCGAAAACGCAAGAACGCATGGTGCAAGGTCAAATCAAACCTGCCAAACCGCCCATTTTTACGAAGAAAATTCAACCTTGTAGAGCATTTGAGCAAGAACAAGCCAAATTTGAAGTTGAATTTGATGGCGATCCACTACCAACTATCAAATGGTACCGTGAAGATTTTCCTATACAAAACTCAGTCGACCTTCAAATTTACACCTTCAGTACCAAGTCGGTATTAATTATTAGACAAGTTTTTATGGAAGACTCTGGTATCTTTTCTGTCATCATTGAAAATAGAGGAGGAAAAGCCAAATGTAGTGCCAATTTAGTCGTAGAGGAACGCAGAAGGCAGCCTGGACGAGGTGGTGCAGTACCACCCAGTTTCTTATCTACAATCCAATCTGTTTCTGTTGTTACTGGACAACTCGCTAGATTCGATGCCAAAATTACTGGTACTAAACCTCTGGATGTTTATTGGCTTAAGGTAAAATACGTAAAATACATATATATATATATATATAACAAATTTGCCGGGTAAATTGGTAATTTTATATATAGCGTATAGAATAGAAAATTTTAATTAATTTAAATTTAAATCTTTTTATTATAGAATAGCAAAAAGATAATAGTGGATATCCGGTATAAAACTTTGGAAGAAGACAATATTTATACGTTTCTGATTCTGGAGACAGTACCAGAGGATACTGGCAAATATGAATGTGTTGCGATTAACAGTGCCGGAGAAGCGCGTTGCGAAGCGGAATGTAATGTTCGTAGACTACAATCTCCAATAAAAGTCATAAAACCTACAATGCCAACAGTAGAAAAAGCGCCGATAGTTTTGGAGCTATTAAGAGATCAAACCATTAAGGAAGGAACTTCAGTCGCTTTCACCTGTAGGATCACAGGAAAGCCTATTCCTACTATACAGTGGAAGAAAGCTGATAAGGTATATAATAATAAAATAATTAAAGAAACAAAACCGGACACTCAGTATTAATACGATAAATTGTGTGATAGCAAAACATTTAGAAGTCCAAGAATAATAATATAGAAATGTTGTGAAAAGAATAAATATCAAGAATTAATATGATAAAAAGTCAAAATTCATATTTAATAAGATCACATAAGAGTCGACATGTAATGTTTCGGCTGCCAATTCGAGCCCTCTTCAGATGTAAAGATATACAATAAATAAAATATACACAATCAAATTATATAGCGCGGGACGGGCGCGAGCGCACGAGCGAAGCTATAAGCAACTATAACCCCCACTCGTTACACAATGTACTATATAATTTGCGTATATTTTTTTATTGTATATCTTTACATCTTAAGATGGTTCGAATTGGCAGCCGAAACATGTTATGTTAACTCTTATTAAATATGAATTTTGATATTTTATCATATTAATTTTTGATATTTATTTTTCTTTTCAATGTTTTTATATTATTATTATTCTTAGACTCCTACATGTCTTGATATCACACAATTTATCGTATTAATCATAAAATAATAGCTACAATAAAATAACTTTGACGCAATTAATTTTTTAAATAATTTTATTTGCGAGTGCTTTATATGTTATTTATAGATAATCAAACCATCGAAGTACTTTCAAATGCAAAAAGAAGACGATTTTTATACCTTGAGGATTTCTGAAGCTTTTCCCGAGGACGAAGGTGTTTATAAATGTATTGCTAAAAACCCCGCTGGCGAGGTCACAACCTTTGCTAATCTCAGAGTTCTTGGTAAGACAAAAAAAATCAAATTCAATGACATATATATATGTATAGTATATATGCCATTGATAAAACATTTCGAAAAAAACATATATATATATATATATATATACATATATATAATATTATACAATAGGTTTGTTATAAAAAAATAAAACTGATGTTCAATGATGACTATTCAAATTTGATCTTTTTAAATCTTTTATTAACAATATGGTTGCCGCACTACTTTTCTCCATTTTTAATTATAGCTCCCGACACAACTGATGTCCTGGCAAAATTGACTCCTTTGAAAGATCAGATAGTCATAGAAGGACAACCAGCTCAATTTAAGACTCAAGTGAGTCCGGCAAAGCCTAAACCAACAATTCAGTGGTATCGAGAGGGTGCCTTGATCCCACAATCACCAGACTTTCAGGTAAATATTTTGCCATTGTTCTTCCGTGAAACATCAAAGGAAATTTCACATTTAGAATGATATTCAATGAAGATATGACATATATCATTTTCAGATGATTTATGAAGGGAACAATGCGGTGTTACTAATAGCAACTACCTATGAGGAGGATACTGGTACCTTCACTTGCCGCGCTACAACCTCAGCCGGTACCGTAGAAACATCTGCCAAACTCATCGTCAAAAGTAAGAACTAAATAAAAGATATAGAATCGATTGCTAACATGACACGATTGTTCTTATATTATACTCCAAAAACTGCCGGAGACAAATACTCGAGACGTATATACTTAATAGAGACGTATATTAGCTCGAGACAGTAGCATGACAAATCAATTAACAAATTAATAATATTAGTGAATTGTTTATTAAATCTTGGAAAAAATTATATTCTAACTTTTTTTAGTTTGTTGTACTTCTTGCTGTACATTGATTGAATGTCAATTAATTAACGCAAGTTTTTACTTTTCGATATTCGCATAGGTATGGTAATAATCTCTCAGGAATTATAGATTATTATAGTTTCGAGATTTTAAAAGAAATGAAGTTGTTTTCAATGGCACATGATACAACAAAATAGATATAAAACGGATGTTGAGGTGATCACTGAACTTAAAGTTTTTACAATATCGCAATTGATCATTGCTAATAATGTATACATTAATTTCCATCTGACGTGTTCATTGCGACTAACGTCTTTACATCGTCTCAAAGTCTTATAACGTCTACGCGTAGCACGATTCGCCATAAATATCCCCTCATATTTTTACTTTTGTGCTTTATTGTGCTTCCCTGAAAGAACGTAACCTATTGACCTTGCTATTGTAGTTTTCTCAACTTTCATCTCAAACAAATCTCCTGTAATTAAAAATAACGTGCGCGCTCGGGGAGTTTGTACTAACTATCATATTTTTTGAGAATAGTTAAGCGAGTGAAACGAGGAATAAGTATTATGCTAATATTTTAATTTATTTAGGATAAAAATGATGTTCGCAGAGAATACTGTAACTTTGTAAATAGATTTAAAATTTGGAATTTCGCGCGATATTAATTAGTATAGATAAAAACGAAGGAAAAATGCAATGCAACTGCGTTAACTACGTAACTTGTTTACTCGTTCACTATATAATCTTGATGTTTATTATAAAAGTGTTTTATTAAAAGATGTTATTATAAAAAGTATACAGTAAAAAAGAATATATATATATACATACACATATTACACAATTTGCTTATTATATATGACGCCCATATTTTACGATTATATACATATATGTATATATATATGTTCATTTATTAAAGAATTTACAATGACAAAAAATATCGTCCTATACTAATCAATTATTTATTATTGTACAATGAAAGTCGCAATAAAACCAAATGTTCTAAATATGTCCAAGTCTCGTTTGTTGTTGTTTCGACAATTGCCTCAATTATTAATTTCTATCAATTTTAACGTGACCTTCAATAGAAAAATCTTTGAAGCGATAATAGATTCCAGTTCAATATGATGTAAAACATATATAAAATTTATATAATTATTAATAATATATTATATATTTTTATAAATCTCGTCCTGTACGTAAATTAATTATCTAAATTAATACATTCAATGGTTTGTAACAAAAAAAATGTTAATGTAAAAAATATCTATTGTTAGAGGAAGGAAGATGTATATTGAAGAACGTTTTTTCATTGAACTCTCTCTCAGATGTCGTATGTAAGAGAGAAAGTACATAATACGTGTTTAACATTCTAAGGAACAAATAATTTACATTAAAACAAAAAATAGAACAAAATTTCTAATTTACCCTTGATTAAATATTACTGAAGCACTGTATATTCAGCAATTTATATATATATATATGTATATACATTATATGTTAATTACTGTGTATGTGAGCATAGGTATATATGTGCCATCTATGTATAGATGTTTAACTAAAACTGTGTGACATTAACACATTTTTTTTAAATATAAACTATTCTTAAAAAAGCTTTAAACTACATTTTTTTAAATTAGACTTATATCACTTTCAAAAAAACAGCTTATATACATACATATATATAATATGTATATGCATATAGATATAATTATAATTTATGATATTAGTTTTTTGTGTAAAATATATTCCAAGTGAAAAACAGATTCAGTGCCGTACACCAAGCAAAGCCCTTTTCTTAGACTATTTTTGAGCACGTGATGTGTATTACATTACCTAGCTATATTTGGTCGCTGGCTCAGAATTCCGCAAAGATTCGTCGACCACGGTACTTCAGATTGTGTTTACAAAATCTATTTTTAAAAAACAGGTATATAACCTGTTATTAGTTTACTTTATACTTTAAATATTTTTGCTTTTTACTATTAGTTGATAAAATTAAAAAATTATAATAAAATATTACAATTTTTAAGTTTTTTATTAGAAGTAACAGTATATAAATTTTATATACATCTTACAATATGTGTGTGCATCTGCTCGCAGATGTATACTTCCAGAAATTTTTAACGGTTAATTAAACAAGTACATTACGTGTATCTCTAAAATCTTGTTAATTACAAATTTATATTATACAGGGTGTTTGAGAAGTAATGAAAAATTTTGTCGCATAGGGGTAGAATGGACTAAATTCAGAAGAAAAGTCCTCTACCATTTTACAATTTTCGCAATAGTTAACGAGATATTAATTCATAGAAATAAATAAAATGAAAAATAAAGGACTCTTTATATAAAAATAATAATTAAACAAGATGAAGGACAATAAGAGTCAAATCGTAAGTAAACAAAAAAGCGATTGTAACATTAAATATATAATATGAATTTTAAAGAAAAAGAATACAATAAAATACTTAGCCGCTTTTGACACAATTAAAAATTAGAATATCGGTCAATATATAATAATATAAACAATCGCTCGATGTAAAATGTCGTAACAAGTTTCGACTCTTGGTTTGAGTCCTGTTCAGACGTTCAACAAAAAATTCCTTATTCCAATATAATTAAGACAACACATTTCTCACTGACTCCTCGATTTCTCTCTTCGTTACACAACATTGGCAATACAAGATGGCAAAGTCGTATATTGAAACAATGTATCTGTAACTTGGCATGAGAACAAAATCAAAAGATGTGAAAATAATGGAAGTACTTAGCTGCTTTTGACATGTAATATTAAAATTAGAATATCGGTCAATATATAAGAAAAATCGCTCAGTATAATATGCCGTGACAAGTTTCGACTCTTGGTTCGAGTCCTCTTCAGACATCTAACAAAAATTCTTTCATTCCATAAATGCAGTTAAAACAAAATTCCCACTGACTCCTCGATTTCTCCTTTTGCTACATGATATTGATAATACACGATGGAAAAATCGCATATTAAAACAATGTATCTGTAACTTAACATAAAATTGAAACAAATTCAACCGTGAAAAAACAGTGAAATTTAAAAAGAAATGTTAACTCACCAACGAAACTTTTGATATGGAAAAACGATTTGTCAGTATTACAATACGCAAGTTATTAAGTAAAATAAAAGAAAGTCGTAGAAAATCTATAGAAATATTCAAATTCGCCCGGCCCACCGCCAAATGCAAGCGCGCCGCTTGCGTTCGCCGTTTTTAGGCAAGCGTTGTTTATAACAAGCGACAATGGTCGTCACTAGACAATGTCTATTTCTTTTCAATTTAGTCCACTTTACTCCTATCCTATGTGACAAAATTTTTCATTACTTCTCAAACACTCTGTATACATGTATATGTATATACACATATATATATGTACACACATCTATATTTTAAATTCGACATAAATAATTTTAAATATTAATCCTTTGTAACTAGCGGTAAATCGTTATTTATTTTAATATTGAGATAGATAGAAATGTCAAAAATATCAAATCAAATATATTTCAGAAAACTTTAATTTCCATTTTCAACTATCTTGAAATTATTCGGAAATGAAGAGATATTTTCAAAAATTGCACTGTCTACTCTCTGTGCTCTGCACATGAGTCACAGACAATATGCATTAAAAAAAGACATGTGATTCTCAATAAATTTTGAACGACCTTGAAGATGGAACGATAGAACTTTCCAAGAGAACAAATGACCATCTGATTCATCAAGAAGAAATTTTTTCTGTTGTCCATATTTATACTGTCTTTAATTATAAATCGTCACCTTCGCTTAATGCTTCGTCAGCACAATAATTTTGAAGAAAGTTGACCGAGGTAGTTGACTATTTTGGTTCCGTCTCGAGCCAGCTGCTAGTGATTCAGTCGTGCCAGGAATAATACGAAGAAGAACATATCAGTGTAGTCTACAAAACAAGTAAAAATTATTTTTAGTAAATCAACAAATTCAAGATATACTGACAAACTACGTCAAATGTCTAGTCTCTAATGTAGCAAACTATTAATGATGTCTACTACAATACAATGCGATCGTATTTATTGTTAATGCAATTGAAATACTTTATGGAAAAAAATATAAGTGACTAGACCAAATTCTTAAATTGTTCTTTCATAATCTTATTATAGAATTCTTCTCAGTAATTATCGAAATAAATATTAATCATCGAAATTACCGCGCGCGCGAAATCCTTTGTTATTCATTTAAAGATTAGACAAACAGCAATCTATTGTTGCTTTACAGTTTTTGAATTTATTTGTGTAATTAAAACAAAAAAATAAAACATTTATTCACAATTGAATAGTATAGTGTCATCTACTGAGAATATAATATATAGTAATTTATATTATTTTATTTGTATGCATTTTTAAAAGATATTTACACAAAATTTAATTTTTTTAAATTAATATAAATTTCTTAAATAATAAAAATAGTCAACGAACTAAAATGCGAGCGCACACACTCACACGCACACACGTGTGCGCGCATGTTCCATATAATATATATATATATATAATATATATATGGTAGATGTATATGTATTAATATATATATATTTAAAATCATAAAACTCTTAGACATACAGAAGTAAAAGTGAATATGTATCTGTAGTTATCTTTTTTTTTTTAATTTAAAAAATTTAATTTTGCAGTTCATCTAATAAATTATATTATCGTGCAGAAAGTAGTTTATTCCTACATTTTTCAAATATATTTCTCATTAATCTATGTCTGTATTCACTTACATATATATTTTTCGAACTTTTGAATATTATTACAATATTCAAAAATCGATAAACTTTTTTAAGTTATGAAATATTATATTTTTTCATTCTCAATAATTTCCTATACCATAAGTTAATAATTAAACAATATTCAATTAAATTTATTATTCAATTAAAGACCATTTAATGTAACAACATAACTAATACGAATAAAAAGTCTAATTCAATATAATAAGTCAATAATTAAATATTGTAATAACTGCACTTCACACACATTTTAACTAACTGGCTAAGAAGAGATAAGACAAAATGTTTTTTTTGTTTGTATATTTTGTTTGTATATTAAAATACGTCAAAAGACAGATTATATGAACACAAAATGCTTAATATTTTTAAGCATATGAAATATTTGCTTGATACAACTATATGGTATATACAACTATATGTACACGTATATATAAATTGTTGAAAAGTTCACTGTACAATATATATACACAAATATTTTAAATGTATCACTTCATAGCAAAATGAATTGTCCAATTCAAATATAACTTTATTTCGGTCAATCACATAAAAGAAAGAAATTTCTAGAGATAACGAACGTTAGAAATATACTTGTTGACAATCTCTTTCTTTCAAATATTATTTCTGATTCACTGTGATATCACCGTAAGACGAAGGGAGAACGATGATTTTGCCCGGATTTTCTTCGTTCCTTCGTCTTCGACTTCCAACTGATTACTATTACGACTAGATGTAGCATAAAATAGAGACGTGCGTCTTATACGTCAAGAATCCCCACCGAATTTCTCCGTGGGAGACACTTGAGAGAAGCTCACGAGCGCAACATGAACTCTATGGACACTACAAGCAAACACTTCAACTCGCACGATTATATTTAATAAAATATTCATCCGTTAATAGAGATCTTCCAAAATATTTCTTTGTATATATCATATGGATTAAAAAAATGATATCGCGGCATTATCATAATATTGAAATAGCATTGTATTTTGGAAAAGAAGTTCCATGCACGCGTAGTCAAGTTACAAAAGAGACAAGCTTTATAAGACTATTTAAAAATAACTTAAAGAATGTTGTAGATCCATGCGTCTTTTTTTATGCTATAAACATTTTATAACGTTTGTGCTTTATATACAATTGTTAACATGATTGATTGATTTATTATTACTAAACTTTGTTTCCAAATATTGTCGCGCTTTAATAAATATTATAATTTTTACATAAATCGTAAATCTATATATACAAAAATATATAAGTATGTGTATATGTGTTAATTTTAATGTTCTTTGTTAACAAAATTTAATTAAAAGATTCATGCTTTTCTATGCTTGTTTCATTAGTAATTAGTGCTTGTTTCATTAGTTATTAAGTTTCATTTGACACATCTGTCACAAAACAACGAATGTTTTCATTGTTGATTATATTTACCCAAGAAAAGGCAAATATCACAAAAAGATAAATTTTCGGTTAAATATAATCTTTTACAAATTATATATTACATATTAATAACTCATAAACAATTTATTTTTCCAAGATTGATTATTTGGCAAAATGTTTTAATTTCTTTTTCCTGAAAAGTTAATTCAGTCAAAATCCATTCCTTGTTATTCAGTGATTACACCAAAATGCTTATATAACTAATTTTACAATGTTAAAGGATTGATAAATTATTGTGAGTTTATAAATAAATCTTTCCTTAATTTAATTTAATAGCATGATGTATCATGATGTATATTAAATTTTCTCCTAATTTAATTTATACCATGTGAAACAAACAGTTAACAACGTTCATACCTATTTAAAACCATTTTGCATAATTTGCAGAGAGGAAAGAAGCCCATTACGCGGTTCCTGCAGAGACGGGTGCCAGTATCGAAATGGATGCAAAACTTCATCAAGATTTGAAAGATGTAATTCTGAGATCTTTATCTCTCAACGAAAATAATTTACCATTTGAAGTACAATTTCAACCTGGTGATGAATCGCTGCCTTGGCAGCGAAGAGGACGCGTTCCGCACATACCTCGAACTTATGATTCACTTCCATGGCGAAAAATACAAACAACATCAAGAGATTCTTCACTGGATAAGCTTAAAAATTTCGAGAGTCAAATAAAACCATGGACCGAGGAAGAAGTAATTTTGAAAAAGACTCCCAAGATCACCAAGGACGTAACAACAAAAAGACTAGAAGAAGTTGAGTTAAAACCAACGAAGATTGAAAAAAAAGACATCCATGGATTTAATATAGAAACAACTAAGTTAAAATCCGTGTCTAAAGAGGCAATAGATAAAGTTAAAAAAACAATCAAAGAATATACTAGCGACAATATTACGACTGAACTTTACAAAGAGCAAATGGATAATACCCCGGTAACATCGCGTTATTTAGATGAAACCATGTCGAAAAAAGAGAAACAGGAGAAACCAAGATTATGGTTGGAAGAACAAATTGTTTCAAAGGAAATGGAACCAAAAACAAAAATAACTTCCGAATTAGATGTAGAAAAAATTAGTTTTCTTGGAAAAAAGGACACTTCTTTGCTTACAATTGTAAAGGACGCGAAAATGCAAAAATTAATAAAAGAAAAGCCTATCACAGAGAAGGCAGAACAACCTAAACCTTGGACGGAGGAAAGAATCGCTTTGAAAAAGGCAAAACTAGAAAGAAAAGAAATACGTAAAGAAATCCTCGAAACCGTTTTACTAAAACCTTCGCAAGTAATAAAGAAAGATCTTGTAGAATTAACGTTAGATAACGCAGGTCAAAAACCAACTTCAAAAGAAGCTGAAGCTATTTCAATAATTACGCGAATTGATGTCACTACAGATAAGAGAAGACCAAGCAAAGAAATGGATAAAACAATCATAGATAAGATAGATAAGACAAAATCATGGACAGAAGAAAAAGTTATGTTGAAAAAATCTAAACCTATTCAGAAAGAAGTATATAAAGAGACTCTTGAAGAAGTATCATTAAAGCCAACACCAAGGTCAGATAAAAAAATTTTAAAGAAAGAAAGAGTAGAGAAAATAGATTTGAAACGCATCAAGAATAAAAACGAAACAATAGAAAATACTAACATGACTGGGGTCGTACAGCGAGAAAACATACCATATTACGAAGAAGAAGACAAAATAATTATACAAATAAACAAAGATGTTGAATCTACTAAAAAAATGAACAGTGAAAAAAAATCAAAAAGTATATTATACACAGAAAAGGACGATACTACGATCCTCAACATTGCTAGAATTGATAATGTAATCGAAAAATCTAAACAAGAAGAGGTACCATGGGTTAGAGATAGAAAAACAAGAGAAAGAAAAGAAGTTGAGGAAATAAAAACATATGAAATAATTGAATTTGAAGTTAAACAGAAAGAAGATAAACTTACGGAGATTTCCGAAGCTCCATGGCGCCGTAAATCAAAACCTTTAATTCAAAAAGAAATTTTGGAAATTGAATCAACTAAAGAAATAATTAAACCAGACGAAGCAAAACATAAAGAAGTAACATTGAAACATGTTACAAAACATCATAAAGAGGAAGAATCAAAAGAAATCACTTTGAAAACAGTGGAAAAAGACAAAGTTGAAGACAAACCAGAGAAAATCCCATTTAAGCCAGTGAAAAAGATAGAAAAACCCGAAGAGTTAAAACTGGAGCAAGTCGTACTAAAACCTGTCAGAAAGCTTCCTAAAGACGAAGAACCAAAGGGAGAAGTCACTTTGAAACCAGTGAAAAAGGACAAAGTTGAAGAAAAACCAGAAAAACTCCGATTCAGGCCAGTGAAAATGATAAAAAAACCCGAAGAGTTAAAACCGGAGCAAGTCATACTAAAACCTGTCAGAAAGCTTGCTAAAGATGAAGAATTAAAGGAAGAAGTCACTTTAAAACCAGTGGAAAAGGATAAAGCTGAAGACAAACCAGAGGAAATCCGATTCAAGCCAGTGAAAATGATAGAAAAACCGGAAGAGTTAAAACCGGAGCAAGTCGTACTAAAACCTGTCAGGAAGCTTCCTAAAGACGAAGAGTCAAAGGAAGAAGTCACTTTAAAACCAGTGGAAAAGGATAAAGCTGAAGACAAACCAGAGGAAATCCGATTCAAGCCAGTGAAAATGATAGAAAAACCGGAAGAGTTAAAACCGGAGCAAGTCGTACTAAAACCTGTCAGGAAGCTTCCTAAAGACGAAGAGTCAAAGGAAGAAGTCACTTTAAAACCAGTGGAAAAGGATAAAGCTGAAGACAAACCAGAGGAAATCCGATTCAAGCCAGTGAAAATGATAGAAAAACCGGAAGAGTTAAAACCGGAGCAAGTCGTACTAAAACCTGTCAGGAAGCTTCCTAAAGACGAAGAGTCAAAGGAAGAAGTCACTTTAAAACCAGTGGAAAAGGATAAAGCTGAAGAAAAACCAGAGGAAGTCCGATTAAAACCGGTGAAAAAGATAGAGGAACACGAAGAGTTGAAACCTGAGCAAGTCGTACTAAAACCTGTTAGAAAGCTTTCTAAAGACGAAGAATCACAGGCAGAAGTCACTTTGAAACCAGTGGAAAAGGATAAAGCTGAAGACAAACCGGAGGAAGTCCGATTCAAGCCGGTGAAAAGGATAGAGGAACCCGAAGAGTCAAGAGAAACCCGAAGAGTCAAAACCGGAACAAGTCGTACTAAAACCTGTCAGAAAGCTTCCTAAAGATGAAGAATCAAAGGAAGAAGTCACTTTGAAACCAGTGAAAAATGACGAAGTTGAAGAAAAACCAGAAAAACTCCGATTCAGGCCAGTGAAAATGATAGAAAAACCCGAAGAGTTAAAACCGGAGCAAGTCATACTAAAACCTGTCAGAAAGCTTCCTATAAACGAAGAATCAAAGGAAGAAGTCACTTTAAAACCAGTGGAAAAGGATAAAGCTGAAGACAAACCGGAGGAAATCCGATTCAAGCCAGTGAAAATGATAGAAAAACCTGAAGAGTTAAAACCGGAGCAAGTCGTACTAAAACCTGTCAGAAAGCTTCCTAAAGACGAAGAATTAGTGGAAGATATCACTTTGAAACCAGTGAAAAGGGAGAAAGTTGAAGAAAAACCAGAGGAAGTCCGATTCAAGCCGACGAAAAGGATAGAGAAACCCGTAGAGTCAAAACCGGAACAAGTCGTACTAAAACCTGTCAGAAAGCTTCCTAAAGATGAAGAATCAAAGGAAGAAGTCACTTTGAAACCAGTGAAAAAGGACGAAGTTGAAGAAAAACCAGAAAAACTCCGATTCAGGCCAGTGAAAATGATAGAAAAACCCGAAGAGTTAAAACCGGAGCAAGTCATACTAAAACCTGTCAGAAAGCTTCCTATAAACGAAGAATCAAAGGAAGAAGTCACTTTAAAACCAGTGGAAAAGGATAAAGCTGAAGACAAATCGGAGGAAATCCGATTCAAGCCAGTGAAAATGATAGAAAAACCTGAAGAATTAAAACCGGAGAAAGTCGTATTAAAAGCTGTCAGGAAGCTTCCTAAAGACAAAGAATCAAAGGAAGAAGTCACTTTGAAAGCAATGGAAAAGGATAAAGCTGAAGACAAACCGGAGGAAATCCGATTAAAACCGGTGAAAAAGATAGAGAAACCCGAAGAGTTAAAACCGGAGCAAGTCATACTAAAACCTGTCAGAAGGCTTCCTAAAGATGAAGAATTAAAGGAAGAAGTCACTTTAAAACCAGTGGAAAAGGATAAAGCTGAAGACAAACCAGAGAAAATCCCATTTAAGCCAGTGAAAAGGATAGAGGAACGCGAAGAGTCAAAACCGGAGCAAGTCATATTAAAACCTGTCAGAAAGTTTCCTAAAGACGAAAAAACTAAGGAAGAAGTTATTTTGAAACCAGTGGAAAAGGATAAAGCTGAAGACAAACCGGAGGAAATCCGATTAAAACCGGTGAAAAAGATAGAGAAACCCGAAGTGTTAAAACCGGAGCAAGTCGTACTAAAACCTGTCAGAAAGCTTCCTAAAGACGAAGAATCAAAGGCAGAAGTTACTTTGAAACCAGTGGAATGGGATAAAACTGAAGACAAACCGGAGGAAATCCGATTAAAACCGGTGAAAAAGATAGAGGAACACGAAGAGTTGAAACCTGAGCAAGTCGTACTAAAACCTGTTAGAAAGCTTTCTAAAGACGAAGAATCACAGGCAGAAGTCACTTTGAAACCAGTGGAAAAGGATAAAGCTGAAGACAAACCGGAGGAAGTCCGATTCAAGCCGGTGAAAAGGATAGAGGAACCCGAAGAGTCAAAACCGGAGCAAGTCATACTAAAACCTGTCAGAAAGCTTCCGAAAGACGAAAAAACTAAGGAAGACATTATTTTGAAACCAGTGGAAAAGGATAAAGCTGAAGACAAACCGGAGAAAGTCCGATTCAAGCCGGTGAAAAGGATAGAGAAACGCGAAGAGTTAAAACCGGAGCAAGTCGTATTAAAACCTGTCAGAAAGCTTCCTAAAGACGAAGAATCAAAGGCGGAAGTCACTTTGAAACCAGTGGAAAAGGATAAAGCTGAAGACAAACCGGAGGAAATCCGATTAAAACCGGTGAAAAGGATAGAGAAACGCGAAGAGTTAAAACCGAAGCAAGTCGTATTAAAACCTGTCAGAAAGCTTCCTAAAGACGAAGAATCAAAGGCGGAAGTCACTTTGAAACCAGTGGAAAAGGATAAAACTGAAGACAAACCGGTAGAAATCCGATTAAAACCGGTGAAAAGGATAGAGAAACCCGAAGAATTAAAACCAGAGCAAGTCGTACTCAAACCTGTCAGAAAGCTTCCTAAAGGCGAAGAATCAGTGGAAGAAGTCACTTTGAAACCAGTGGAAAAGGATAAAACTGAAGACAAACCGGAGGAAATCCGATTAAAACCGGTGAAAAAGATAGAGGAACACGAAGAGTTGAAACCTGAGCAAGTCGTACTAAAACTTGTTAGAAAGCTTTCTAAAGACGAAGAATCACAGGCAGAAGTCACTTTGAAACCAGTGGAAAAGGATAAAACTGAAGACAAACCGGAGGAAATCCGATTAAAACCGGTGAAAAAGATAGAGGAACACGAAGAGTTGAAACCTGAGCAAGTCGTACTAAAACCTGTTAGAAAGCTTTCTAAAGACGAAGAATCACAGGCAGAAGTCACTTTGAAACCAGTGGAAAAGGATAAAGCTGAAGACAAACCGGAGGAAGTCCGATTCAAGCCGGTGAAAAGGATAGAGGAACCCGAAGAGTCAGAACCGGAGCAAGTCATATTAAAACCTGTCAGAAAGTTTCCTAAAGACGAAAAAACTAAGGAAGAAGTTATTTTGAAACCAGTGGAAAAGGATAAAGCTGAAGACAAACCGGAGGAAATCCGATTAAAACCGGTGAAAAGGATAGAGAAACCCGAAGAGTCAAAACCGGAACAAGTCGTACTAAAACCTGTCAGAAAGTTTCCTAAAGACGAAAAAACTAAGGAAGAAGTTATTTTGAAACCAGTGGAAAAGGATAAAGCTGAAGACAAACCGGAGGAAATCCGATTAAAACCGGTGAAAAGGATAGAGAAACCCGAAGAGTCAAAACCGGAACAAGTCGTACTAAAACCTGTCAGAAAGCTTCCTAAAGGCGAAGAATCAGTGGAAGAAGTCACTTTAAAACCAGTGGAAAAGGATAAAACTGAAGACAGACCGGAGGAAATCCGATTCAAGCCGGAGAAGAGGATAAAGGAACTCGATGAGATGAAACCGGAGCAAGTCGTATTAAAACCTGTCAGAAAGTTTCCTAAAGACGAAGAATCAGTGGAAGATATCACTTTGAAACCAGTTAAAAAGGACAAAGTTGAAGAAAAACCAGAGGAAGTCCGTTTCAAGCCGGTGGAAAAGATAGAGAAACCCGAAGAGTCAAAACCGGAGCAAGTCATATTAAAACCTGTCAGAAAGCTTCCTAAAGACGAAGAATCAAAGGAAGAAGTTACTTTGAAACCAGTTAAAAAGGACAAAGTTGCAGAAAAACCAGAGGAAGTCCGTTTCAAGCCGGTGGAAAAGATAGAGAAACCCGAAGAGTCAAAACCGGAGCAAGTCATATTAAAACCTGTCAGAAAGCTTCCTAAAGACGAAGAATCAAAGGAAGAAGTTACTTTGAAACCAGTGGAAAAGGATAAAGCTGAAGACAGACCGGAGGAAATCCGATTCAAGCCGGAGAAGAGGATAGAGAAACCCGAAGAGTTAAAACCGGAGCAAGTCGTATTAAAACCTGTCAGAAAGCTTCCTAAAGACGAAGAATCAAAGGGAGAAGTCACTTTGAAACCATTGGAAAAGGACAAATTTGGAGAGAAACCAGAGGAGGTCGGATTGAAGCCAGTGAGGAAGATGGACGTAGAATCAAAATCAGAGATGATTGTGTTGGAAGCTGTTAAAAAGCTTACCACAGAAAACGTATCAATGGAAGGAATTATTTTGAAACCAATGGAAAAAGGAGAATCCGAAAACGTAATGTTACAATCACTATCTGAAATCCTAACCGAAATTATGGACGAAAAACCATGTGTAGACAAATATATGAAGTCAACAGAGGTATCAGAAACTCCTTGGCGACGTAAACGAATAAAGAAGGTCGTTGATTTTAAGGATGAAGTAACAATAGTGCCTATTGATCAAGAAGAATCTGTTATAGATGTTTGTGAAGATATAGAAACAAAGATAATTATTGAAGATACTGAAGACCTATTTGAAAGAAAAATAGAACTTACGCCATTGCTTGAAGAAGATATGTTAACAGACGAAGTGATTATAGGTGAAGTTTCATGGAAAAAGAAGAAACAAATACTTCCAAAGACAGAAGAAGAGAAAAAAATGGTTGTGTTAAAACCTATTGAGAAAATAGAAAAATTAAAGGATAAAATTAAACAACCCGAAGGACATACACTAGCTTTTACAGAAGATAAAAGATTACTCGAAGAGGTGTATGAGGACGACAAAATTTTCGAATTAAAATCCGTAAGTCTTACGGAACAAATAGCAAAAGTTTCAGAAGAGAGGAATGAAATTATTTCTGAATCAGTTACGACAAAATCTAAGGTAACAGAAAGGATGCCCGAAAAAATATCTTCTGATATTATTGAAGAAAAAGCTAAGAAATTACAAATTAAAGCAGATATTACACAAGTAGAAGACCGAAAGAAAAAACGCAAACAACGTATTCAGGTTGACATATCAATTACAGATAAAGACAAAACAATTGCTCCAAGATTTATTCAAAAATTACAACCTGTTATAGCCGAATTGATGAAACCTGCCAAATTTACATGTACTATTATAGGAAATCCATTGCCTGAAATTTCTTGGTATAAAAATGAACAAGAACTCCATGCGAGCGAAAAGTATATTATGACTATATTTGAGACAACAATAACCTTAGAAATCACAAACGTCAAAGAAGAAGATGCTGGAATGTATTCTTGTAGGGCATCTAATCCAGCTGGCGTAGCAACATCCACTGTCAACCTTGTGATATTCGGTAATAATATTAAATAGGAATTGTATAATTTTCAGGACTTGGATTTATTTAAACATTTACTTGGTTGTTTGATAGTTTTATAACTATATTAATTTTCTGTTAAAGATATAGGAATATTATGAGATATACATAATTCGTATAATCTTTTCGTAAAATTAAATAGGCACATTCTTTACTATACAAATACTTAAATGTCATATATAGTATATATATTACTTTTTATTTTAATTTATTTTATATAGTATATGTAATATATACATATATACTATATATAGAATGTCCCGAGAGTTTCTTCTAATCGCTTTTGTGTAAATAGAAAGAACCAAACTGAGTGGAAAAGTTCTCGACCACTTTGCAAATTTCGCAATGGTTGACGAAATATTAATTTTTAAAGATAGCCGAATATTAGTCTTCAATAATTTTTTTCTCAAATGCTATCAACTTTATAGAAAAATAGCTACAAGAAAAATTGTTTATTTTCTTCTTATAAAGTACTGAAAATTTTTTCAGAATTTTTGAATACTGTATTTCTTATGTTGGTAAAAATAGTTGCCAATAAGAAAATGCAGTACTAAAAAGTTAACAAAAAATTCTGAAAAAAATTTTTAAAGTTCTACGAGAAGAAGAAACAATTTTTGTCCCTTGCAGTTTTTCTGTAAAGTTGATAGCATTTGAGAAAAAAATTATTAAAAACCAATATTCGGCTATTTTCAAAAATTAATATCTCATTAACCATTGCGAAATTTGTAAAAGTGGTCCAGGACTTTTCCACTCAGTTTAGTCCACTCTATCTACAACAGCGATTGGAAGAAACTTTCGAGACATCCTGCATATATATTATATATGTATATATGTATACAGGATGGTTGAGATAACCGCCAAATATTTCATGCGTGGGTAGAACAGACTATACTGAGTCGAAAAGTCCTGTACCATTTTGCGATTGCAGTAATAATAGTGTGTGAACGAGATATTAATTTATAAAAATATTTAAATTCGCCCGGCCCATCGTCAAATGCAAGCGCGCGGCTGGATAGAACCGCCCTGCAAAGCGCGCCGAGCGCGTTCGCCGTCGCTAGGCACGCGACTCATGTCTAGCGACGACTATTGCCGTTTATAAACAACGCTTGTTATAAACAACGCCTTGTAACGGCGAACGCGCGCGGCGCGCTTCGCTGGGCGGTTCTATCCAGCCGCGCGCTTGCATTTGACGATGGGCCGGGCGAATTTAAATATTTTTATAAATTAATATGTCGTTAACTATTACTGCAATCGCAAAATGGTACAGAACTTTTCGACTCAGTATAGTCTGTTCTACCCACGCATGAAATAATTGGCGGTTATTCTCAACCACCCTGTATATGTATATCATATACAGTGGTAACAAAAATAATAAGTACACTAACTCATTTGTTGTTGTTCTTTTTCAATTTGCAAACATTATGTGTTAATGCTAGGTCAGATTACCTTTTCAGTTGAATGTCGACACATTTGAAAAACATGTTTATATAGGTATCTATAGGTACAAATAATTTCAGTTGATCTCTGTAATTAAGTAAGTACAGAAGTTTTTCGAAAAAAGTGATTTTGGACTGGCAAAAATAATAGATACAAGAGCTGTTTTCCATATTATTAAATTTTGTTGGACATTTTTATATTGTCAGAGGTTATAAATCTATGTTTAATTTAGTATTTACCAACATTATTTTGTGATAAATCTTATTTACAGTTGATGAAAAATGGGTACATCGAAACATTGTACAGATAAGGAGAAAAGATTGATAAAAAATCTTTATAAAAATGGAAAATCTCTCGGGAAAATATCTAAATTGATAGGACGGTCTAGAAATATGATTGTTAACGCCTTAAAAGCACAGCAGTCTGTAGAATTGCGAGGGAGATCTCGAAAAACAACTTAAGTATTTGACCGGCTACTACTTCGGAAATGCAAAGCCGATCCCTTTGCGAGTTCTTTTACTCTGAAGGAGCAAACTAATGCACCAATATCAGAAAGCACAATTCGTCAAAGACTGCAGGATGCTAAATTGTGTGCTAGAATCCCAAGAAAAGTGCCAGTGTTGAGTAAGAAGAATATTAGATATCGTTTAACTTTTGCGAATAAATATTTAAAAACAGTTGGTGAAGAGAGAGAGAAGCAGTGGAGAAATATTCTTTGGAGCAATGAAACAAAGATTAATTTGTTCGGATCTGTAGTGCATTAACAGTGAGAAGGCCTCCAAATGCTGCATTCAATCCTAAATTTACCAAAAAGACAATAAAATTTAGCGGAGGAAATATCATGGTTTGGGGATGTTCCTCCTACAATGGTGTCGGTCCTCTGTACTGGATCAAGAAATTCAAAAAACATGACACAACACATTAAAATCAATATACGAGTGCTTAATAGATTTAATGAGCTGCCGATGTGAAGCAGTTTTGCGAAATAAGAGCTACACGACTAATATTAATCAGAAAGACAAGATTTAGTTTTCTGAATATGTTTTAAATGGTTTTCTGTTGCGCAATATATTTCATAGTGCAATTGTATCTATTATTTTTGCCAATAACTTTTTGTCAAAAATTTTCTAAGACTAAACATGTCATGATTACATGACTTAGGCGAAAAATTATTAACTTTTTAATCAATGTAAAGCCTCAAAGAATTACCTCTACACATAATTGATCTGAATATTTTTTTTCTGTCTTCTACATATAAAATTATGATTTAACTGCAGTGTACCTATTATTTCTGCCACCACTGTATATATATATACATATATATACACTGGTGGACACCACTACTACAAATTTCATCCAAATGCTTTGACTTTACTGAGATGCTCCTGTTTTCATACATTTTATTGCACAATTTCTACATTCATTCAAAAACAAGAGAATCAATTTCTTCGAAATTATACCATACCATGTCGCAGACTGTAAGATTATGCTTTCATCTTTATGATATTATAACATCTATAAGAATCGCTGAAGGACCCGTGAGTTTCGAAACATTCGATATTATTTTTATATTATTTTATATATTTTTATATATTTTATATATTTTTATATAAACATTGTAAATTAGAAACATATTTTACAAAAATATCTTATTACCGCTCGATTTGAACCGTTTTTTCTTTATACATTAAATTAATTATTAGCTAATGTATTTTTTTAAGATCTTATACTTACTTTAGCACATTAAAAAAATAACAAAAGAGTAACAAATCGTTACTTTTCAAGTAACGGTAACGATAACGTGTTACTTTGTTGAGATGACGTTCACAACTTTGAATTTGTGAATACTTTATTATAAAATGTTGTAATTTCACAACATAATTGTTTAAATTTACAACGCATTTTTGTTAGATAAAAATTTCCAATACTTTTGAAAATTCATAACAGTGTTTTTTAAAGAAATTTTTAATAGTGTATTTTTTAAAAATTGCATAATATTAATTTTTTTTTTAGAGAAAGAAGAGGAAGGCATAGCACCACATTTCTCAACGCCGATCAAACCGCTAATGATAGAAGAGCATAAACCTGCTTTTTTAGAATGCGTTGTAACCGGTATGCCAATACCTGAAGTGAAATGGTATCGCAATGAAAAAGAAGTAGAACCAAATGAAAGGACTGAGATGACTTTCAACCCAATTACTGGAGAAGCTACACTGAAAATTTTAAAACCATTGCCTGAAGATGAAACAATTTATCGTGTTTGTGCTATAAATAAATATGGCCGCGCTGAATGCCGAGCTAATTTAATGATTAGTAACATTATTAAAGTGAGCAAACCAGTTATTCTCAGAGCACCGCGATTTACACGACCTTTACCTGCTCTAATAACTGAGCGTGGAAAGTCTCTAAAACTTTCAGCTGATTTTGACGGCATACCAAAACCAGAAGTTAAGTGGTTCCGCAATGGTATTGAAATTACACCGACTAATAAACGTAATATAGATATATATGAAAGTACAACTGAATTAAATATAACAGAAATAACAAACAAGGATAGCGGCAAGTATGAGATAAGAGTTCAGAATAAAGTCGGTGAAGTGAGAAGCTCAGGTTCTGTTACTGTTAAAGAACATAAAGACACTATGGGCGAAGTAAAAGCACCAATGTTTGTGAAACCCATTCAGCCTCAACTTATTGCAGAAGGAGAAGTTGTTATCATAGAAACACAAGTTGAATCATATCCAGCAGCATCTTTTCAATGGTTCCATGAAAGCAAGCCTCTTGAGGTACTTATTCCGATTTATGCTTGTTTAATTGTTTAAAATAAACCTTTAATTTTTTACATATAACAGTATGTTATCTAAAATTTCATTAAATTAATAAAAAATATAATTATTGTATTACAGTCGACACAGCAAGTAAGAATCGTGACTCAAGAAAATCGATCAATCTTAATGATAAAAGAAGTCACATCAGAATTTGTTGGCAATTACACATGTCGTGCTGAAAATGTCGGTGGCTCGGTTACTTGTACAGCCACCGTTAATTTGATGGAAACAACATGGGAAGAGACAATTGAATTAATCTCACCAACATTCGTAAAAAGACTATCACCTGTAAAAGTTATGGACGGTGAGAGAATAAATTTAACATGTATCGTTGAAGGAAAACCAACGCCAAGAGTAGAATGGTATCACAACGACATGCCAATTAAAGAAGGCAAAGAAATTACAATTATTCAGGACATGGAGGGTGTTTGTAGTTTAGCTATTAGCGAAGTGTTTCCTGAAGATGCTGGAGAATATACTTGTCGTGCTGTGAATCCTGTTGGCGAGGCTGTATGCATGTCAACTCTCATTGTTGAAGGTATTATTCAACGCAAACAAATATAGTTTTAAATGACTATTTTACAAAATTTATCTTTAGCGTACGAGTATGTGCCTGATTCTGAAATTGCATCTTCAATAGTTGCGACATCTCTTACTACAGCACAGAGTGAATCAGAAGAAGATCTTCTGTCTCCGAAAGTAAATACAAAATGTCAAAATCTAACATATTCAGCAATATATTCAACAATAGAATTATGCTTGGTGTAATATTAGATATTGAAATTGATTTTGATTTTAGGAAACTCCTATCTTCGACATTGATATAGAAGAATCTGTACCAGAGATAATTAAGAAGCTTCCTCAGTTAGTACCTACCAAAGATGGGGAATTAACTAGGTATGTTTAACACATTTAATGAATAATAAGTGCATCAAATACGAGTTAATATGTACAAGACACCACGGATCACAAGATACCATGGGTCATTAAATGTTTAAAGAAATTCAGAATGTTTAGGTTGGTGCAATTGGTATCATATGATTGTTATTTAGTTGCCCATACTGTGTATCTAGATGACAGTGATCCACTTCTATTATCTTTTTGTACACATACCGTTAAAGAATCTCATGGTGTGAGAGTAATTATTTTACCTCTTACAATTTCTTTTATGTTATTTCTATAAAGTATAATATGCTTATTTTACGAGTTACATACGTGATTCCATACATCCTTTTGCATTTTCTCTGCAATGCAGGTAATCATTTATTGTTTTCTTCTCTACTCTCTCTTTTCAATTTTTTTACTTTTTAGTTTTTATTCTTTTGGTTACTTTTATTAGTTTTTTATTTTTGTTCTTTTTATTATTTTTATTTATATTTATATTTTTTATTTTTTATTTTTTATTTATATTTTTAGAAATATATATTCCAATTTTTGGAATATAATCCATTTTTCAAATTAAGGTTTTACTTAAAGTCTCAAGCCTATTAAACGCAAAGAGCAACTATTTTTGAACTTACATGCATGCACTGAAATATCATCAGGTCTAGAGGCCTAGAAAACAGAGATGCGACATTGCGTTGGTTGGGTTAAGTAACCATCGCCATTTTAATTCAATATAAGTGCTCTTGACCAATAAGCTGATGACAGTTGATGCAAAAGGTAGAAAGATTAGATTAGATTAGGTTAAGTCCGATATTAAATATTCACACAAATAAGAATACTTATTTACACCATAATAATAGTTTTTTATTGCACTTCGACACTGTATTGTCTAAATTCTTCTCTATATATATATGTACATACGTTATAAAACTATATCTATTAGATGCAATAGTGAATTAAAATGGCTCTCTGATCACGTGATTTAGACAGCCAATCAAGCCATACCCTTCAATGACGCATCTCTGTTTAGGTCTCTAATCAGGTCCTAATACAAGATCCCATCGCAAATCCACACCTATCGCGTATGCAGATGAAATGTAAAAAAAAATTCAAGTTCGTGTTGAAGGCAACACTAAACCGCAAGGAAGCTTTAAAAAAAGTGACCAGGAATATTATTAATTATGACGTTTTTGATTAAAAAATTTTGAAAAAATGACCCATCGCGTATGTTTATAAAAGGGCCACCGTTAGAAAGGGAAAGATCTGTAGATTACGAAAATAGTACAGTGCCATCTTTAAAGCAGAGTTGGACATTATTGATTAATCAACGTAATTCAGTACGATTATATTGACTTTGATTAAATGTAATTACAATTATATTGTGTAGTTGCAATTAAAGTAATTACAATTACAGTAATTAAGTTGTGCAAATACATATAATTCAATTACAGTAATTGTTGTGTTGTACAATTACATTTAATTCAATTACAATTGTAATTGTAATTGCATACGATTACTTTTACAATTACAACAACTCCCACCAACAGCAGATTCGGTCGCCGTAACGAGTGCTTACACACACTTTTCGCGATTTCTTGTGACTTATGCCCAAATACATATTTAGTTTAGTAAGTGCTTTTGATATTCGAAGTAATCTGTATGTCGTCGAAAGCTTAAACAAGAGCGAGTGAGATACAACTTGTATCATAATATCATAATCATATAAAGTAGCAAGTGCGTATCATCTTTTCCTTTGCAAGCATTTTAACACATTGTATCATAAAAAGTGTAGTGAGCATATAATATTCATAAAATATGTTTAATTTTAAAACAATGTATATAAAACAAGGCAAAAAGCCAGTAAAATAACAGATAAATTAAATTTATTATAAAAACATACGTTTCGACTTCGGTCAGATCATTCTCAATGTTACAGTAAAACTAATACAAAATTTGTTATAAAAGTTATTCCTACATTGAATTTACAGAATTCGTTATAAACGTTGTTACCACAGTGATTAAAATTCCCCAGATAGCCAAACCCGCCAAAAGCACGCATTGCAAATTTATGCTACATATTATAATAAATGGCAAAAATCGAGCAGCAGTCGAACACGGTTTACCGTTTCAGTATAGCCATAACAGAAATACAGCAAAAATAGAGCAGACGTGCGTCATAATACACTAGCAAAAATTCTGTAAAAATTCATCAAAACTTTGCCGAAACAAAGCAAGCAGAAATCGAGCAATATGATACATGCTGACAAAATAAATTAACAAAAAATAGATCAAAACTTGACTACATGTTAAATCAGCAAAATGTTGTTAAAAATCTGGCACACTTATTGTCATATTATGACAGTAAAAAGGCGGCAAAAATACCGCACGACCTGACATAATTAAGTACTGACAGCAAAAACGCAGCAAAAATCGAGCACAGCCTGCCGTCACGTCGTGACTACAAAAACGCGACAGATATAGAACGTGATCTGCCCTATCAGCCATTGATGGCGAAAACGCAGCAAAAATCATGCATAATCTGTCGTTACATGTAATCGCAAAAATATAATAAAAATGAAGCAAGATTTTTCAAGCCTGTTGATTGGTTGTAAAACAGAGAGATTCTCGGATCTTTCTGTCCTATAACCAATCAACGTGCTTGGAAAGTTTGTTGACTGAAATATCGGACTTAAGGTGTTGATCTTCAATTAATCACGATTCTGCGATGCACACCAGTTCTGCAGAATCTCTCGACCGCGGTGGACGCGTTTCGGTTTGGGTATTTTCAATCATATATTTTGAAAGTGGTGCTGACTTTTCCAGAGAAAGAGAAAAGGAAAAAAGATGAACTAGTACAAAAGTTCAGCCAAAAATAACAAGCCTAATGGATCGTACAAAGGACGCGTGAACGCTGGATGTGCATCGCTGTATCCTGATTAGTTGAAAAAGTATCAGCACCTTAATAACTCCTACATACAAGACTACGTTTTGATTCCTCACCCGAGTGTATATAATATACCTATTATAATATTTTATTATATAATTATTCAAATAATATTTTATATAGATACAATATACATATACATACATCTATGGAATTTTGTGTAATTTATGTAATATAAGATAAATGTAATAAATTTTGAAAACATATATATATACATATTTAACCCTGTAAACTAAAAATATTTATAAATTTTATTAAATTAACCTATTATTTGAAACGTTCTTCATTTCTTGCTTCATTTTTGCGATTACATGTAACGCAGGCTATGCGCGATTTTTGCTGCGTTTTTGCCATCAATAGCTAATTAAGTAGATTGCATTCTATATCTGCCGCGTTTTTGTAGTCACGATGTGACGACAGACTGTGCTCGATTTTTGCTGCGTTTTTGCTGTCAGTATTGGTTATGTCAGGTTGTGCTGTATTTTTAATGCGTTTCGCTGTCACGATGTGATAGCAAATAATGATTGATTTTTGTTGTATTTTTATCGTTGTATTATGTTGGCAGGCTAAGCTGTTAGAAACTAAGCTTAATGAGGAAGCAACAGCTTGATATCTGCTGTAACGTCATGATTAAGTTTACTGCTAGCATTTTGCTATCTGGGGTGTTATTAAATCAGAAGTAATCTTAAAACGAAGAAAATTAATTGAAATCGTCCAAATAGGAGTCCGCGCGGTAAGACATGCGCAAATTAATAGAATAAATATTTACTAAAACATATAATACATACGTAATTACATCAACGATTAAAATTTCCATAATTAAATCGATGTTTAATATTTTCGGACGTTTCGGCTATATATTTTAGCCATTCTCAGCAGAACATTAACGATCAATCACACAATGTTTAACAGAAAGCACAATTATCGGTAAAGAAATTACAATGCTTATTGGTAACGAGAAATTATGTTATCTAAATATTAATTAACATTGTTAGAAAAATATTTAATTTAATTAAAATAATTGACCAAAACTTATGCCAAGTGGAACCATGATACAAAACAGGAAAAAACTTAGTCACTATATAACTTCGTCTCAAATAATAAATTAATATAAATGTAGAATAACCTCGTCAATTTACAAAGATCTTAAACGAGAATAACGTTTAAACGCTGTCATGTTCTGATTGACTCTAAATACGATACAAAATAAATGACAAAACGCCAAAACACATAGAACTTGTTTACAATTTTCTTAAAATATCTATGTAAGTGCGGTCTAAGCCATCGCAATCATTTTTTTTACATTGAGACCGTTCTTTTGACTCTTAATATGTATGTATGTTTTCTGAATACGCTTGTTATTATTATTAACTCTCCACATCCAAAATTCTCACATAATCCCAATCAAAATCGTGATTATGCTGCATTCTATGCTTCGAAACAACAGAAAACGCATCTGATGTTCTGTGTATATTATTATGATGTTCTTTTATTCTCCGTTTTCAGTCTCCTACCCGTCTGACCTACATAGGCTGCATCACAATCATTGCAATTGATTTTGTAAACATGTTACTTTTTTGTTCATTAGCAAGACTATCCTTATGTACTTTAATGAATCTATTTAATTTGTTAAAACTAAAAAAAGAAAATCAGATTATTAGATTTGCGTTGCAAGACCGACAATTGTTCGGCGCGCAATAGAACGTTATTTCTTACTTTGGATAAATATTGCGAAGAATATTACTACGTCGACCCGCCATCAGAGGTCTATCAATATTCGCAAATTCTCGCAAGTGAGACACGCGTATCGTCGGTCTTAAAACGCAACTCTATCTCTTTATATAGTATCTCGATTTAATAACTTACACCGGCGTCTAAGGTAGGCTTCCATTACAATACCTTACTGATGAGTCTAGTAGTGGAAGCCGCGACGAAACACCAAAAAATTACGTGATATTCTTCGCAATATAGAATATTAGAATAAATTATCAGATTCAGATTTTAAATTGTAATTTGACTCTTATTCGCCATTTTTAACGTATTAATTATTGTTATATAAAAGAGTCCTTTAATTCTTCAATTATTTGTAAAAAAAGAAACTTTTAACTCACTACTATTAATAATGTTTTTAAATTTATCAGATATCCCCTGAATATAAGGAATTGTGAACCATTTAAACTTTTTCTTGCTGTAAAGAACGTCATTTTTATTTGTTGTATGTTTTGTTTTTTTGATTAAGAATACAATCATTTCAGTAATTATCTTAAAAATATAATTAAAAATATGTTTTTAATATGGCTCAATAAATTTAAAACTAATAAAGAGAAACAGGGCTACGAACCAATGAATTCGTTAAAATCTTTAATTTATTCTAATATATTGCGAAGAATATCACGTAATTTTTGGCGTTTCGCGGGGGGACTTTTCAGATAGAGTTGCGTTTTAAGACCGACGATTGTTCGGCGCGCAAGATGGGAGGTGGGGGGAAGGGGAATATATATACAGTCTGTCTCAAAGTAAACAGGACTTTTTCAAAATAAGAACAACAAATGGTATTTTCGGCAAAATTGTTTTATTTTATTCAAAATAGTCTCCTTCCGCTTCGATACACTGATTTGCACGACTTAACAACTTTTCGAATGACGATTTTAGGTCGTTGGCCGGCATGGCTCGGAGGATGTCGGTACACGCCTTTTGAATGGCCGGAATGTCAGTATAGCGCATGCCTTTCATCGGCAAATGAAGTTTTCCGAATAGATAAAAGTCACAGGGTGCCAGATCAGGCGAATACGGGGAATGGTTGACCAATAAAATGCGATTTTTGCTCAAAAAATCGGTGATGAGCGTCGATCGATGAGATGGCGCATTATCGTGCAACATCCGATAGCCCAATTTTTCGGTCAAAATGCGATGAATCGAATCTTTGGACATTCCCAATTCGATTTCCATAAAACGCAACGACGATTTCGGATGAATGTTGAGAAAATCACGCACTTTTTCGATGCTCTCTGGCGTAATCACGAATTTGGCCTGGCCAACATGAGAGTCGTCATTGATGTCTTTACGACCGTTTTTAAAACGCGTATACCACTCATGAACTCTTCCACGGGATAGGCAATCATCACCATAAACTTGTTGCATCAATTGAAACGTTTCGGTAAACGTTTTACCGAGTTTAAAACAAAACTTAATGTTGGCTCTTTGTTCAATGCTCATTTTTGTACCGACAACGCAAACCTACTGTCACTTTAGGCGCAATAACTTTGCTTCCAGTAAACCAAATGTCATGAAATTTTCACTGGAAGTCTGGAACAAATGTACCTTTCGAACACCTATAGCCGCATTAAGATGGCGCCACCAGAAATGTCCCAATTGAAAAAGTCCTGTTTACTTTGAGACAGACTGTGTATTACTTTGGATAAATATTTCGAAAAATATTACTACGTCGACCTGCCATCAGAGGTCTATCGATATTCGCAAATTCTCGCAAGTGCTATGATACGCGTATATCTCTTCATATAGAATCTCGATTGAATAACTCTCTCAGGCGTATAAGGTATGCTTCCACTACAATACCTTACTGATGAGTCCAGTAGTGGAAGTCGGGACGAAACGCCAAAAATTACGTGATATTCTTCGCAATACATTAGAATAAATTAAAGATTTTAACGAATTCATTGGCTCGTAGCCCTGTTTCTCTTTATTAGTTTTATAATTAAAAATATAATTTAATGGAAAGTCATTATCAATTAAAATATTAATAATTTTAGTAAAAAAAAAAATTTTCTTTGTGAAATTGTGAATGCGAGAGATGGAATACTTTGTCCGCTAAACTCAACATGTGACACCCTTTTTTTGAGACATTGGATGTTGACAATAAAATTCAAAAATTTCCCCGTGAACGTAGGTCTGAAACCAGTCAAATTAAAAAAAATCTTGTAACGACTAACTATAACTTGTTACTTTTAAAAAGTAACTTTCCATCCCCCCCCCTGTTGGTTTCTAGTCCTGCATGACTATATCAAATACTATTGCAGATAAAGACGTATTTTTATGTGAAAGAGCGTTCAATTTTTTATAAGAAAATGTCCATATTTAATTTTCGAACTTATCTTTCATACTCACTAACGACAAGCGAAAAGAGCGCTACGACGAGAAAACCCAAAAATTGACAGCCCTACAGTTCGGCAATCAGTTAGCTTACAGATCTATTATTCGACACAGAGTCTTATTTCATCAAATTAGTTCAAAGAATGTGAATAAAATCCATGAAATTTCGCAAAATGGGTGGCTCATTTAGCATGGAATACCCCATATACAAAATCTATATATAAAGTTATATATAAACTATTGTGATCGTAATTTTATTTTTTTCCAGGAAACAATGTAGAAATTGTTTTTAAAATTATTTTTCAATTAATTTTCTTATTATTTTTTTTACACGTATAAACAGATTATGCAAGAAAAAAAATATAAAATAAATTTTATCTATTTATATATTTATAATCGTACATTTTTGCTACATATATAGATTGGAAGTAAAAGTGAAAGGCAAACCAAAACCGAAAGGAAAATGGTATAAAGAAGGAGTGGAAATATGTTCATCACAAGAATTTCAAATTGAGGAATTTGAAGATGGTACATCAGTATTAACGATCGCCGAAACTTTCCCCGATGACACTGGTGAGATCACATTTGAAGCTTACAATCCACTCGGTGTATCAACTACAACTACGTATTTATCAGTAGAAGGTAATATCATTTTCTCTACAAAGATCTCAAAGGCTTTACTAATCTAGTTAAGTCATATTCTTTTCAGCTGCGCTCTTCAATCAGAGAAACGTCGAAGTTCTGTAGCATCCTAATAAAAAGCCACTCATTATCCTATATCCCTTACATCAATTACAACAAACACTTACAAAATCATCGACTTACACTGCCTTTTATTATTTCAAACAATTAAGTTTACAAATCTCTTTGTCGCCTTGTTCAAACTCTTCTATCTGAATAAGATAAGAAGGGTTTGATATACATTTATTATTTGCATGTATGTAATACTGCTATATTGCTAACGGCAATTAAAAGCTGCCGCAAACATTACGGTGCAGACGATCGCTTCTCACTTCCACAATTCGTGTACTTTCGCAATGTTCATGCGCGTGTTTCTAACCTTTTTCTTCATATACGTATTCAATAGTGAAGTTGAGTTTGTTATTTGATATATAAAAGTACCGATAAGAGTTGAAAAAAGGAAATAATACCGCGATCTTGTTATTTATGTAAAAGGAAAAGCACAGAACAATTCAAAATACACGAATGCGCAATTCAAAGTACACGAATTGTGGAAGCGGAAGTCGATTTTCTATCTCACTATGTTGGTGTACCCCCCACTCTCAAAAAGAGGCTGCATTAAGCAATATAGTAGTATTACATATATGATTATTTGTTTCTTATATTTCTTTTATCGATTAGGTATACTCGGAACAAAAGAGTACAGAAAACCAGAGTGGGTCACACAAATGGAAGAAATGCAAGAGACTTTAAAAGGTAAAGTCTATCGCACATGAAATGCATAACAGAGCAGAACATAAGATTGCTGGACCAATGAATATCCAGCATAAGTCACTATATTGATTTATATAAGATGCCCGTTGGTCCAGCGGTCTTATATGTTAATAAGCGGTGTTATACTTATATGTTATACTTATATTACTCTGTTACGCATTTCATGTGCGGTAGGTTTTAAACTCATGTTTATCATTTAAATATGCTCAATTGCATGCCGCATGACGCAGAGTGCAATTTTTCAAGAGATATAGTATACGTTCCGTTTCACGTATGATGCGCATAATGCATCACTTATCTTTGTTGCTCACAAAATAGTAAACAAGGACAATTGATATATCATGCGCACTATGCACGAAACGGAACGCACCTATAGTCTGGATAAACTGTGCATTAAGAAACAAAAGAATTTAAAAATAAGAATATATAGAAGTATATGTGATTTGAAAATAAACAAAATGAAAGGTCGGGCATATGCCACACACTAGATAATTCAACTTACAATTAGACAAGAAATACGAAATACTTATAAATTGACTTATTATTACGAAAACGATTCAGCTATTGACTACGCAATTTTTAACATAATACATCTCTAAAAAGATCGATATTGACTTGCGCATTAAAGCCATTTAATGCATGATATTTTATACAACTATGATTGTTAAATTCTCGATACAGACTTCACACTAATGCCAATTAATTCTATTATATTAATGATTATTATTATTGTATACTGAAGATGGCCATGTTCAAGGCTGAAACGTCTATGTAAAAAAATTTTGTCATTATAATATAGATAAACAATATTTAAATACTAAATCTTTTGGGTCCATACATATAAGAAACAGAACCAATAAGAAATTGCCTTTAACGGTCGAGCTGGATCTTAGGTACTATTATAATCCCGTGTGAAAATTTATATATAACGTATATAATCTTTTAAACCGCGCGCCAAACAATTTTTTGGTTTTGAAACCAATTAAGGGGATGCTGGACCTACGAAATTGTGGGTACTTTACAGTCTTATGAAAATCTCCGAAACGACTGAACGGAATGAGAAATCCTTCTACAGGATTAATATAGACACAAAATTAGTAAGTGACGTTGAGAATTGTATGCTAAAATCGAAAAAAAATTAAAAACTTACATTTTTTCGACTCGTAGATGTGTCACCTGACGAACATATTTCCTTGATAAACAAGTTTTACTGCTTGTATGGACTAAATGATTCAACACCACCCGGCGTATTACGTGAATAAATAACACTGACTTTACAGAACTGAGATTGAAAGCACCAAAAAAGATATTTTCATTGAACTGTAAAAATGGTAAATTCGTTTACAAAACTAAGACTCGACACGATAACCAACCAAGAAATACGTTCAACAGTAGTTGCTCGATTTTCTGAGAGATGGCGATATAATCGGACAGGGGCCGAGGGGCCCAGCGCCCAGCTGATCTGAGTGCGTTCGGAAAGTACATTAGATCTGAACTTTGTTGAACTTTCTAAACTTATTACACCGGGTGAATCAATTCAGAGAATTATTTGATAAAGACAATTAATTATTGTCAGAATTATCAGTAATTAATTATTATTAATTATTAATAATAATATATAATAATATAATAATAATAATAGATAATATGTTATATTATATCTATATATTATAATATAATAATAGATATATATTATTATTATTTTATTTATTAATTTAATATTATTATTATTATTTATTATTAATTATTATTTTTATTAATTTATTATTATTTATTATCAGTAATTAATTTATGCTTATGTGAATTAATGGGAGGATTATGTCATTGATAAAATTTATTAAAAGTTATGTGTTATCTGTGACATCTATTTCTTCTTTTTGCTGATGTACGCCAAAGGGCCGCGAGTCCGCGAGATTGCCGAGAAAGCTTTTAGTGCTGCGCATTTGAAAACAAGCGACCGGAGCCAGAGCCTGCTCGCTATCCCCCCACTCCTTCGCTCCCCGCGCCGAATTCGCTTGTCGCGCTGGCGACCAAAGATGCTTTCTCGGCGATTTCGGTCGTTCGGCGAATATCAGTATAAGGGACAAAAATACATTCTCGATAACACATAACTTTTGATAAATTTTATCAATGACATAATACTGCCATTCATCTACATTAGCATAAATTATGTCAAAATGCAATGGTTTACGAGATATTAATTGTTTTCGATTTTCCGTGTACGTCATGTACCCCATTCGCAAACGTCATGTTGGAGAACGCAGCGTGGTCTCGAGCGTAAGGTGCGAGGTTGTGGTGCTGTAGATCCCGTGTTCAAATCTGTCATTTTTTTCTCTTTTTTTGCCATAATTTTTTTGAAAATAAGTAAAGTCATTAATTATCTGCTTA